GAATGGCGCTGGGGGGATCAAAGCCTTGAAGGATGAGCGCGGTTCTTTGGGAGCCACTCATGGGCCACACTATTCCATCATCGCCAAGTTCCCATGAGGAGGTGAGGTGGCATGTAGCTGAGCATGCAGTCTTTGGACTCGCCACCAGGTGGCGCACAAGGCTTGAGATGATCCAAAGTCCCCTTCAGGCTTTCTAGCACAGGCATGACTTAGGACCAGCCACCCACCCACCTCTACCCCTGACCTGCAGTCCCTCCATCTCCTTCAAGGCTCAACTCAAGCCCTGCCTTTCTCAATTCCACCAGCGGCTAGTCTTCTCCCACACGACAATTCTTTAATCCATGGCCCAGGACACTCCCAAACATTCTGGGCTCCCTTAAACCGAGTCTGACTCTGGGAGCTGACACCAGAAGGATTCCTTATCTCTTTATTTGGCTTATTGTCCACACCTGGAGCTCCTCCAGGACACTTGACAAAGCCTCCAGTTCCTGTACAAACACTAACATTAGCAAATGCAAATCAGGTATAGGACAGCCTTTCCTCAGAGGACCACAGAATATGTGGGAGTATGGAACTCCCAAGAGCCTATAACCAGATACAGAAACATAAAAAACTCCCAAATATCCATTAGCCTCTCCCCTGCTCTCCAAGGCAGCTGTAGGAATGAGCATTTATCAAGTGCCTACTATGTGCCAGGCTAGGAAAGAGCTTTTACAAAGATGTCATTAGATCCTTACGACAGCCCTGGGCAGCAGATGCTATTATTATTGCCATTTTACAGATGAGGAAACTGAGGCAGACAGAGGTGAAGTGACTTACCCAGGGTGCTATACTAGCAAGTATCTGAGGCTGGATTTGAACTCAGGTCTTCCTGACTCCGGATCCAGAGCTCTATCTGCTGACCCACAGCTGCCTTTTTCCCAAAGAGTACTTGTCAGATCCCCAAGGTTGAACTGCCATCCCGGGGATTTGTACACTGCAGCCCAAAAGGTGGGCATGAATTCTGGGGTTGCCACATGAGCATTCCCCTTCCCAATTCTCACCTCTGCACTGAGAGGTGAGGCCCAGATCTCTTTGACAAGAGCATGGCCCATCAGTCATTAGGGGGCAGTCCCAAGCCCTGGGGCCCCTGGAAGCTCTGCGGGGTGTGGGCCACGGGGAGATGCCTCTCAGATGCTTTCCAGGAAAGGCCCCTGCCCTGGAATCTCCCTCACTGGACACCTCCCTCCACACACAGGCTCTTGTACACTCCCACCTCCTGTCAGTCCTCAGCAGGGCCTCTAATCTCATCAATGCTGCCATGACGGACCACCTCTCCAGGTCCCAGCCTTCTCCTTGGGCATCATCTTCGGCAGACCTGCTCCAGGCTGCAGGCCAGCAAGACTTCCACCCCAAGAATCCTGGTGGCACCCTGCAGCTGTCCGCCTGTTTCCCCTCAGCTCCCTCCCCTGCCTCTGCATCTGGGCCATCACTGGAAATACGCATAGGTCGCCCCCCCCCCCCCACTTGAAGCAGGGTTAAGGAATAGGATGTAATGGTGGGTCAGAATCAAACGTTGAGAGCAAGAAAGAGACCTGAACAGTCATGGAGCCAACAGCCCTCATTTTCCACAGCTAGTGGGGGCTGTGACTAGGCCCCTACTGTGTGCAGGGCCCCACGAGGGCAGGGTCACAGCTGAATGAATGAAGTCCTCCAGCACAAAGTTACTGGGCCCACGGGTCAGAAAGTGACCTGGACACATCTCCCAGACGGGCAATGCCACCCTTAGGAGGAGTAAGGATGTCTGGGGGCAGGGGCTGGGGGGATGGGCAGTGCCAGGGAGAGATGCCTGCCTTCCTTAGTGGCTGGCCCAGCACTGGGGTTGGAGGCTGCTTCTCCCAGTCTCTGCTCCCACCAAGCAGGCTCTGCCCCGCAGGGGCTCTGGGGACTGGGAATGAAGCTGAGTTCTGAGGTTGAGGCCTAGGTCCCTACTCCACCCCACCCTGTGCTCTGCCACCAGAAATCCCAAGGAGCTCCTGAGGACTCCCACCTCTGCCTCTCCGCTTGGCAATTTGTGGAAGGAAGAAGAAAGCTCCCTAATGAGCTGGGAAGGATGCTTGTAGACTGACTGGCCCATCCACTTTCCAGGTAGAGGGAGGCCCACAGAGCTGGCATGCCCCACCCTGCCTTCTCTGTGCCTCGGTTTCCTCTTTTAGGACCCAACTCACAGGCTTCTTGTGAGACCCAAGTAAGGGAATACATAAAAAGTGGCTTATTTTCCAGATAAGACGTTGGGGCACAGCAGCTTTCAGACTCAGGTGGGCCAGGAATGGGGCTGTGCAGAGGCCATGGCCATGCCTGGAGGCTGATCCTGCCTTCCCTTCACCCACTTCACCTACTTGGGAGAGATCTCTGAGGTGAAAAACTGGGGCAGCCCAAGCTCTAGACCTGTTTACAAAAAACAAATTTTATAGCCGTGTTGTCTTTGTATCACCTGTATTTTCCACTCTGCCCCTCCCAGAAAAACCACTCCTTATTAGAAAGAATTTTTAAAAGCAGGAAAAAAAATTTCAGCAAACTGACCAACGATTGAAAAAAAAAATCTGGTGTCACCCCTGTGGGCCGCCACCTCTGCTAAGAAGCAGGGCTGTATGGCTCCTCCCATCTCTTCTGTGGGGCCAGCCTCTTCCACCTTGGAGCTGGGCAGTGCGTAGACCTGTCCTAGGTCTATGCCTCTGGAGTTCTAATGCTCACCTCCATCTGCACTTGCAATTGTGCTCATCCTGGAGGCAATAGGGAGCCACAGCTCCTGTAGAGGGATGGAGAACATACAACAAAAAAGACAGCCAGGGGCTTGAGATCCAGTCCCAGGGGAGCCAAACAAGATGAGTCCAGAATGAAAACGGGAGTCGCCTGGGAAACCCGAAACCCATTGGCCCTAAGGGAGGAGAGCGGAAGGACCAAGGACCCGCCATTCCCTCCTGCTCCTTCTGCTCAGCCCCCATCAGAAGAGGCTCAGCACTCAGCACTCCACGTGGTGCAACCCAGTCCAACTGTTACTCTGGTAGGAGATCTCCAGGCCAGGCTTGGCTCTGGCCACAGCTGCCAGCTCAGCCCTGGCTGCCTCGCTCAGGACACACCTGAATAACCTGTAGAGATTCAGAGTCAGCCTCAGAGGGGCAGCCTTGAGGCTGCAGACCCAGGACTTTGGACTCCCCACTGGGCGCCCCCTGCACTGCCTTCCCAAAGGCCCTGTCCCCACCCCAGCAGGCTGCCTTGGCCACACCCACCTGAGTCTCTGCAACCGACAACTGGGCTGCCTCAGGCCCCTGCAAAGCCACTTCGGGCCTTCCTCCCCCAGGGAGCTGTCACTGAGGTCCAGCCGCCTCAGACTGGGGCAGCCGCGCAGCACTGAGGCCAGGGCCTCACAGCCCAGCCAGGTGAGCCCGCACATCTGGACCCTGCAGGGGGAAGGGGAGAGGCTACTGGGGGCAGAGCTGGGAGACCAGGTGGGGATGAAGGGGGAGACATGGGGGGGGGAGGTAGCTGGGGGGAAAGATGGGTGAGATGGATGGCGACCCAGGGGAAGGGAGGGCTTAAGGGGCAAGTCGGGGGGAGAGAGAGAATGTCCAACCACTGGACAGAGCAGAAGTGGAAGGGGCCTCCTGTCCTGGAGGAGGTTACTGGGGACACCCAGAGAAGACCTGCCTAAGGTTTTGAAATGAATGTGAAGCATCCTCAGACTCCTTCCCAGCCCCAAGGTCTCTGCTAAATGCCCCAACCCTAGTGCCTTCCCATCCCAGTGCCAGGAGAACAGATTCTTGTCTGCTTGCCCCATCTTGGGCCATCAGGTTTCTTCTCTTGGCGAAGCCATTGGACCCTAAGAAGAGGGTAGGGGCTGGAGCAGTGACTGGAGTGCCAGGCTGGGAGACAAGAGCACCTGACTTCAAATCCTTTCCTAGCCAGTCATAACCTCTGGGCCCCAGAGCAACCCCCTCTCTGTAATATGGGGATGATAACAGCACTTCTCTTCTTTCTACTCATTTGGGATGGAGGGGAAGGGAGACTTCAAAGTCTTCAAAGCCTAACAGGGGCTAAAAGGCCTAGACATTGAAATATGAAGGCGAAAGTTTTTAGAAGCAACATAGACTTTCCCCAGGGCCCATCATATGGGAGGTCTCCATACGTACTTAGCAAATCACAGTCCTAAACCACCACCACCACCACCAAAAAAAGCAAATAAAATTATAAAATTATTCACTTGTACCAGCAAATGTGTGCATGAAACATGCCTAGAGGCAGCAAGGATGCTAATTAAGCTTTGAATGAGAACTGGGCTCAAATCTAGAACTGAGTGATGTCCAATAGATATCTTAAACTCACTATGTCCAAAATATAACTCATCTCTCCCCCAAACCCTCCCTCCTCCTATTTTCCCTATTACTGTGGAGGGCACGCCCATCCTCCCAGGTCTTCAGGCTCCCAACCTAGGAGCCATCTTGGACTCTTCACTCTCTCACCCCCCAGATCCAATATGGTGCCAAGACCTGTCGATTTCACCTCTGCAGTATCTCTGATCCATTTCACCTCTGCAGCATCTCTGATCCATTTCACCTCTGCAGCATCTCTGATCCATTTCACCTCTGCAGCACCTCTGGTCAATTTCACTTCTGCCACATCTCTGGTCCATTTCACCTCTGCCACATCTCTGGTCCATTTCACCTCCACTCCATCTCTGGCCCATTTCACCTCAGCAGCATCTCTCTAACAGCCCCCCTTCTCCCCTCTGACACTGCCCCACCCTGGTGTAGGCCTTATCATCTCACACCTGGATTATTACAATAGCTGCTGGGGGAAGGGGAGGAGTTTATCTGCTTCAGGCCCCTCCCCATTCCAATCCTCTTCCAGTCACCAAAGGGATTTTCCTAAAATGCAGGTCTGATCATGTCACACACACACCCCCCTCCACTCAATAAACTCCAGTGGCTCCCCATGGCCTCCAGGATCCAATACAAAATACTCTGCTTGGCATTCAATGCTCTTCAAACCTAATCCCTTCTCCCTTTCCAGGCTTCTTACACCTCATTCCCCTGGACGTGCTCTCCTTCTTCTTCATGTAGTGCACTCCATCTCCCCACTGGCTGCCTCCATCCCTTCCCCTCACCACCTCTTGGTTTCCCAGATTTCCTTGTAGACTCAGCTAAAATCACATCTTAACATATATCCTATGTACCTTGGTATTTACCTATTGTCTCCCCCATAGACTGTGAGCTCCTCAGGGCAGGGACTATGGTTGGGTTTGTTTTTTTGCTTTTGTACCTAGCACTTGGGACAGTGCCTGGCACATAGTAAGCCCTTGATAAAGAGGGGGCTGACTGACTGAAATAGGGTGGTGTGGGCCTGCAAGCTGTCCCTATTCATCAACAGAGGGTGGGGTGCCCCATGGTACTCGAATACCACAGGAAGGCATGACACACCAGATCAAATCCCCTGAAATGCCAATCCTCGGCCTTCTGGAGGAAAAGCCAAAAGGTTAGAATGACAGGAGTCAGCAGAGCACAAAATACAAAATAAGCAATTCGTCTTTGCTCACAAACTGTCCTGAAGGGGCCTGAGAAATGAAGAAATTAGGAGACACAGAGAAAGACAGAAAGAGGGAGACAGAGGAAGGAGGAGAGGAGACAGACAGACCGACCGACAGACAGAGAGAGGAGAGAGAGAGAGAAAGGGAATTGGGGGAGATAGACCAAGAGACAAAGACAGGCAGACAGACAGAGGAGAGAGGGGAGAGGGGAGGGAGGGATGGAGACTAGGGTCATTTTGCTCAGCACCAAATCCATAGTCACCACAGGTGAATAGAACTGAGTACAGCACATCAACCTGTCCTATAAAGTCCTGAAGGTTCAGGGATGGCATGGACATCTACAGGCCAAGCCAGAAACAGCTACTCTACCTCATGGCATCAGAAAATCTTTGGCACAACCAAGGAAGAGTAAAATTCTGAACACCCACCACGGAAAGACACATCGACTCAGGGATGAAGGAGATACCTACCAACCCTTTGCCTCCCCTAAACAAGCCACATCAAGGATCAAACTGGGCCTGCATAAATCCAATGACTCACTGGCATCCTGAAATCTAAACTAAACAGGAAAAGAGCACTGAAAGTGATCAGTTCCTCTGCCGTCTCAGTCTAGGCCACCACTCTCAGAACTGTAACACAGGTTGCAGCAGAATTTGCAAAGTGTCCCAACAAAAGCCTACAATGTCAATGAAGCCCAGAGGACAGGAGCCTCTAGCATCTCTGGAAAGATGAACCCTTCCTCACCAAAAACAAGGAAGAGCATTGAAGACCCAGTGTAGGCAGACGATTCATGGAATTCCTTTGAAACAGGAGACATCCCTTCATGGAGCCATAGAAAAGAAGGCTAATAGGGTCACACCACCGGATCTGGTCATCGTAACTGAAGGTGGGCCACCTCCCGTTGGAGCCTAGGACACCGATACAATCCAAGACTGAAGGCCCTCCCTGGGTGGCCTGTCTGTAGAGTCCTCAGAACGTCCAACACCAAGAACGGGGCAGAACCTCGTGGGGGCAGGGAAAGAACTGTCCTCACGACCAGGACATGGCAAAGTCCTACACAGACATGGCCTTATGAGTGGAGGGCTGATCCCCATTTTGCAGATGGGGACACTGAGGCCCAGAGCCATGCAGTGACCTGCCTAGGGTCAGTGTCTGATACCCGGGTCTTCTGAGTTTAGCCCTCTTTCCACCAAGCCCCACTGATGAGTGGCTCAGGGTTCAGAGGAAGGCAGCTAGGACAAAAGGGACCTCAGGGCTTTATCAGATGAGTATTAGGGGAAGAAACTGGGCACACTCAGCCTGGGGAAGAGAGGGTTGGGGGTGAGGGGGAGATGAAAGCTGCCTTCAAGTCCTTCAGAGGCTGTCAATGGCAACAGGGCACACTTCCTCAGCGTTAGAGCTGCCTCCGAAAGAGGTGCACTCTCTCTCCTCTCAGGGGTTCAAGGTCACCAAAGAGTGTAGTGTGACACAGACTGAGTAAGCTTCTGTCCCGCCTAAGGCAACCTATGGAAGTTCTTCACCACCAAATGCCACTGCTGCCTCTTACTGATCTTGTGGTCCACTCAGGCCCTCAGATCTGTTTCAGGTGCTCTGCTACCCAGTCCCACCTCTTTTATCTTGTACAACTCTCTACTCCCTCCCCAGAATCTGTCCCTGGGCATGGAGGTCACTTACTTCAGCTCCTGCACTTTACAGTTGGGGTGAATCAGGCCCTGACACAGTTTCTGAATCCCCATGTCTTCCAAGTCATTGCCACTGAGGAGGAGGACCTCGATGCTGTTGGGAGCACTCAGGATGGAGGAGATGCTGGGGCCGCAGGCAGGGGTGAGGCGGCAGTTGGCCAGGCTGTGGGAGAGCGGCACACAAGCACTGGGGGGACCATTGTGTTCCAGGGGCTCTTGTTCTGAGCGGGGAGGGGAAGGGCAGAGAGATGCCCCCCTCCCCCACCCCATGCACTGAGTGATGGTCTTAGGACTATTTGGCCCTCCTGCAGGACTGGTGGCAGGTAGAGTGGGGGGCAGGCAAGGTGTCAAGCAGCCTGTGGGGACCCCAATGCCTTGGATGTCCTCCACTCCCACTCCAAGGCACCATGCCAGAGGCTGCTTCTGCTCCCAGTCCTGCGGATCCTGGCAAACCAGCTTGGGCCCCTTCCCAGATCTACACCCCCCTCCCATGGGCAGTCACATGGGCTCCAGGCCCTCCCCCCTCCCCCACCATGGGCAGTCACATGGGCTCCAGCTCCCTTCCCAGGTGTGCCCCTGCTGGGGCCGGGGCTCATCTTACTTGAGTTTCCTCAGCCTGCAGTGGGGGGCCCTGAGGCCTTGGCACAGCCGCTGCAAGCCCGAGTCTCCCAGGGCATTGTTCCTCAGGTGAAGCCAGAGCAGCTTGGGCCCCGGGCTAAGCACCGAGGCCAGGTCAAGGCAACTTCGGCCAGTGAGGCTGCAGTTTCCCAACCTAAACAAGGAGCTGCCAGGGGTCCCTGGGGGCTCCTGACTGGGCCCTCTCCATTCCCCACCCCAGCTCAGAGGCCAAGGCAACAGAGTTCTCTCATAACCCTTCACTACCTCGCTAGCCACCCAGCAGGGCTGGGATGGGAGAGTGCTAGAGTGAGAGATAGTGTGGAGCAGTGGTCAGAGCCCTAGCCTCTGGGTCAGGAAGCCCACGTCCTCCTGGCTGGAGGACCCCAACCCAGTGACTCCCCCTCTCCAAGATCCTCAGGGACAGAGCAGGTGGAGAGAGCATGTTCCCTGGGGGTACCCCTTGCCCAAAGAAATCATCAATCAACTTGACAAAGAAACTAAGACCTCCTGGGAAAGGAAATCCTCCACCTGCTGCAGCCTCTAGGTCCCCATGTCTATCAGCTCAGACCTGGAAGGAACCACCGTGGTTCCTGCTGTCTGCAGAAGTTCCCCACCTCAGGAGTCTGGAGAGGGACCTTCCAGCCTGGACCAGAATACTTCTAGGGATGGGGAACTCACTCTTACCATGCCACCTGCCAACAAGCTACCATGCTACATAGGACCCCATGGTGGGGGCCCTGGGCAAGGGAAAGGCTTCTGGAGACTAACCTGAGTGTCTGCAGTTGGCAATTGGCCTGCCGTAGGCCTCCACACAGCAGCCCCATGCCATGGTCTCCCAAGGCATTAAAGCTCAGATCCAGCCACTGCAGGGTCTGGCTGATGCCCAGGACAGAGCCAAGGCTCTCACATGACTCTTCGGTGAGGTGGCATTTCTTTAGACTAGGGAACAAACACACAAGAAATGAGGAACAAGCAAGCGTTCACCATTCAGCGGCAGTAGCCACTGCCACAATTAAACAGAACTCTCAAGACTACCGACCTCATTGCTCATATTATCTCATTTGGACCTCACAACCCCGGAAATGAGCGCTAGCATTATCACCCCCATTTTACAGATGAGAAAACAGATAAGTAAAGAGACCTGACCAGGGTTATATAGCTGGGAATTGTCTGAGATAGGATTTGAATTCAGCTCTTTCCCCGCTCTCAGGTGAGTGAGCTGCCCATTGAGCCACCTGAGTGCTTCTGGACAGCTCCTCTTCAGACTCAGGAAGCCAAGGGAAAGTCCACTCTTGGATGTGCCCGGTCCCCACTGGGCTGAAAGCCAGAGGCCTTTGAGGCCATGGGTGTCTCAGGTTCTGGGTATGACTCCAATGCCATTTCAGGTGGCTATCAATTTCTGCACAGCAGGAGTTGTGGTCTTAAGAACTCCTGAATAGAAGAAAGCTTTCTTGCCATTGAAGGCCTGAATGTGTCCAGTACCAAGGCCCTGCTGGGAAGTACAGCCAAAGGATACAGCGCCAAAGGAGCCCAGACCAGGGGTTTGAGTCCCAAAGCTGAGAGACCCACTTACACTGGTCCCTTCTTCTTCCTCATCTATGAAATAAAGTTAACAGAACCTGCATGGAAAGTGCCCAAAAAGGAGGGCACTGGTCTTCTCCCTTGAGAGCAGGTGCTACTGGGGAACAGGCAGCTCCCTCCTTGGGGTCTCCTCAGAAGCAATCTTGGGGTCATTTGCATAACACAGTTCAGTAAATGTAAGAGGAAGAAGGATGTCCCTCACATCTCTCCACATCCAGACATCTCCAACTGAATGTCCAATAGACATCTTAAACCCAACATGCCCAAAGCCAGATGTTTTATCTTTCCTCCTAAAGTCTCCTCCTTTTCCTACCTTCCCTACTACTGTGGAGGTAACACCATACTTCAAGCTCCCAACCTAAGAGTCACCCTGGACTCCTCACTTTCTCTCACCCCCAGATCCAATATGGTGCCATGAGCTGTCAATTTCACCTCTGCAGCATCTCTGGTCCATTTCACCTCTGCAGCATCTCTGGTTCATTTCACCTCTACTGCAACTCTGGTCCATTTCACCTCTGCACCATCTCTCCAATACGCCCCCTTCTCTCCTCTGATGCTGCCCCCACCCTGGTACAGACCCTCATCACCTTACACATGGACTATGACAATAGCTGGTGGGGAGTGGTGTCTGCCTGCCTTAAGTCTCTCTCCACTCTAGTCCATATTCTACTCAGCCACCAAGTGATTTTCTTAAAGAGTGGGTCTGACCATGTCACTCCCCTACTCAATAAACACCAGTGGTTCCCTATCACTTCCAGATCAAATACAAAATCTTCTGTTTCAATCAATCAATCAGCAAATATTTGTTTAGCACCTACTATGTTCTCAGTTTGTATAGGTGGGAGCAGCGAACCCTAGGTTCCCCAACTGTCAATTGATCAACCAATTAATCAACATTTATTAAGCATCTACGATGGAGCTTCTGACCTCATTTTTTATTCCCAGAGGAGAGGAGTCAGGGTACAAGAAAAAGTGAGTCCTGGAAAGCAGAAGGGACAGCTCCTTCTGTGATGCAGGAGGGAAGAGGCGGAAGAAGCAGAGATGGGGCAAAAGACAAAAAAAAAAGAGGCAGCGTGCTGCATGAGGTGATGCTCTTACCACAGACTCTGAAGCCTGCAGCTAGGATGTTCCAGCACCCTGAAGAGTGATACCGCTCCCTGGTCTTCCAGGGGGTTGTAACTCAGATCCAGTCTTGTCAGGGTCTGACTCGTACTAAGGGCACAGGAGAGGTTCTTAGCAAAATCTGAAGTGAGCCAGCAGTTCAGCAACCTGCAAGAATGCTGTGTTGGGGGCCTTTCTCCACACACCCCTCCCCTACCCCAGGCAAAAGTCCATCAAAGACCAGAGGAATGGCTGAGTGATTTGCTCCCTCCCTTTCACTCTGGACACTGGCTCACTGGGTATCCCTGGGAAGCCCTGGGAGAAAGGGCCCCTTTCCTGGTTTTATGACGCCCTCCCAGGGGATGCCCCTTAGCCCCAAAAGATAGAACCACAGAGTATCAGAACTTCAGAATGCAGCCCAGGGAGGGAGTCCCTTTACCCAAGGCCACAAGGTGGCCACCGTGGCAACCCTTGGCATATGAAGCATGTCAGGGCTGGAAAGCACTTAGACAATCATCAAGTCCAAAGCTACTTTTTCAGATGAGGAAACTGAGAGTCAGAGAGGGGAATTGATCTGGCCAAGGTCACATGAGGCTAAGCTTCGACCCCCCCCCCCCCCCACCCCTTCCACCCCACTGCTGGGAAGGAAAAGAAGCCAGCCAGGCCTTACCGGAGCGACTGAAATGGGCAGGTGGGCTGCTTGAGGTCTTCACATAGCCATCTCATTCCGGAATCCCCCAGGGCGTCCTCCCCTAGTCCCAGCTCAGAAAGACTCCTTCGAACCCAGAGCCCGGAGGAAAAATCTTTGCACACATCCTTTAGGGAATAGGTCCCAGTTTCTCGATCAGTGAGGTCCCTCTCTTGGAGGCCCAGGCCTGCGGCTCCTGAGCCCAGACCATCCAGCTCCACTGTGAGGGTGCTCCGGGAGCTCCGGAGGCAGAAGGCGGCCACCAGGCCATCCATCCTGGTGCGAACTCTCACCTTCACTTCCCTGAAACAGCCCATGGCGCGCTGGACAAACTCGGGTTCTTGGGTCTCAAACAAACAGTACAACAGCTCCAGGGTCTTTGCCCGCCCGGGGCACTGGGCCGCCTGGGCCCGGATCCATTTGAGCAGGACCCGCTGGCTCCCCCGGGGGACGCGAGCTCCCACCATCTTCTCCAGGGTGCTGGCTCTCTCCCGGCTGGAAAGCCCAAAGAGGAAGCGGACGGTCAGGGGGAGATCGGCCTCCAAACTGAAGGTGCCCTTCAGCAGCTGTCCCAGGCGAGGACTACCGAAGAGCCGTTGAGTACGCTCCAGCACCAGGAACAGGGCAGCGAAGAACTCCTGGAAAGTAGAGTGGAAGAAGCTATAGGTGGCTTCGCACTCCGCCTCGTGCTGAACCTGGTCCATGTGCAGGAAGGTGGAGACGGTGGCCACGTCCAGCCCGTGGCGGGCCAGGTCCTGCTCTCGAAACCAAAGCTTCTGCTCTCGCAGGCCAGTGGCGGCCAAGGAGCACAGGGCCCGGAGGCCAGCAGGCTGGCTTCTGGGCGGGCCGTGCCGGTCTGGACGCAGGAGGCTGGACAGGAAAGCCGTGTAGATGGTGGTGGTGGTCCGCGCAGTCTGGGCCAGAGCCTCACCCCTCTCAATCTGCTGCCGCAGCCCGGTGCACACAGCCCAGCACACCAGCGGCACAAAGCACATGGTGAAGAGGACCTCATTGGCCTGCACAGCGGCCCAGGCTCGCCCAGCCTGCCCCGCGTCGGGGAAGTACTTGTAGAAATAGGCCTTTCTCTCTGGAGCGCGGAAACCCAGGACCTCGGCCACCCGAGGCTTTTCCAGCAGCGGCTGCAGCTTCTCCAGCGCTACGGGCCGTGTGGTGATGAGCAGGGAACACTCCGGGAGCAGCCTCTTTGCCAGCAGGCTCCTCAGATGGACATCCACCCGCTGCTTCTCCCCCGTCGGGACCCAGGCCCCATCTTCCTGCCCCTCAGCACCCCAAAGAAGCTCATCGAAGCCATCAAGGACAAAGAGCAGGCGCTCAGGCAGAGCCAGCATGGTGGGCACAGGGGCAACCCCCGAACCTGGGCCAGTGCCCTCAAGCCAGCCTGAGAGCAGCTCTGCCACGCTCCTCCAGGCCGCCACCTCCACAGTCCGGCAGTTGATGTACAAAGCATAGTCAAACTGGCCAGGGTAGAAAGTGCCTGACGCCCAGTCCAGCAGCACCTTCCGGGCCAGGGTGGTCTTGCCAATACCCGCTACCCCCTGCAGCACTACGGTGGTCGGGGCGCTGCCTCCTTCCCCTGTATCGGCATCAAAGAGAGCCTCGAGCTCAATGGGCCTTCCACGCTCCTCCCGCAGGTGCCCATGCAACTCCCCAGAGGCCAGCAGCTCCTGCTCTCTGCTCCGAGGGCTGGCGTGACCCCTCACCAGAAGCAGCCGCGTGTAGTGGTGACTCAGGTAGACCCATTCACCCAGGCGCGCATTTCTCTCCTCCAGGATCTGGAATTTCTTCTGCACTCGTTCCCGGTACTTTTCCTTGTAACCTGATTCAGAGACCAGAAGAATGAGTCACTCTTGAGCTAACTGAGAAGGAAGGGGTCTTGGGTTAATTCAGATCCTGAATTAATTCACCTCCCCAAACATAAGGGAACCCCGATAGGATAGATAACCTAGATCTCAAAGGGTACATCAGAAACAAATGAGACAAGTAAGAATCTTTCTGAATGGTGTGTAGGTATGGAAGCTCATTTAAAACCTCTTCCTTTCAAAATACCAGAAATATTAAGAAATAATATTTCCCTGGTCTAAAAAGCCCCTTCCAAAACCTTTAGAGTATCTCCTTGGAAAAGAAAGGTGGCTGATGGGTAGAGGACAAAAAGGCCTTTCTTAGGGATATGTGTTAACGGTGGCACCCAACCTCTTCCAAACTAGAATGGGCCTTGTCTAGTCGTCATCTCTGCCTCCACCCATTGGGAATGACCCAATGGTAAGACCTGCTCTTCTCCACGGAAGAGGCCCCTAGGCTTACTTCTGAAGGGGAGTTAGGGGAGGGTTCCAGGAGCGGTGGGAAGGCAACCTGGCTACTGAACTATTCTTCCAAGTTCACCTAAACTGTATTTATATACATTGTGTTCTGTTTCTTGTTCAGGATTGCAATAAATGTTTCCTCAGATTGTCTTAGGGCAGCCACATAGGAAGGGTTGGGGAGACGTTTCTCTTCAAGCTAGACATAGCTTGGATATAATTAAAGTTAAATTAAATTAAATTGTTTCTGGCAGACGAGCCTAAATTGAAGTGTATGTTATCAATATTAATATTTTTTTTTCTTTGACATGAGGGAAGAGTTCATAACCCTGGCTTCCTTTAAGTCCCTACTAAAATCCCATGTTTTACAGGAGACTTCCCTAGCTCCTCTTAATTCTAATGCCTTCCCTCTGTTAATTATTTCCTATTTATCCCATAAATAGCTTGCTTTGTATATATTTGTTTGCATGGTGTCTCTCCCACTAGATTGTAAACTCCTTGAGGACTGAGATTATCTTTGGCCTCTTTTATATCCCCAGTACTTAACACACTTCCTGGCACATAGTAGGTGCTTAATAAATATTGATTGATTGATTGACCAAACAAGGGATAGAGATCACAAAAGATAAAACGGACAATTTTGGTTATATAAAATAAATGTTGCACAAACAAAACCAATGCAACTAAGATTAGAAGAGAAAAAACTAACTGAGGAAAAATTTTTGTAGCAAATTTCTCTGATAAAGGTCTCATTTCCAAGAAAGATAAGGAACTGATTCAAATGTATAAGAATGGGAGACATTCCCCCATGGATAAATGGTTAAAGGATATGAACCAGTAGTCTGCAAAGTGAAGTCCCTGAAGCTATCTGTAGTCATGGGGGGGAGAGTGGGGGGGAGGGATGTGGGGGGGATGCTCCAAATTGATTCTGCCTCCTACTTAACAGATTGGCAAAGTTGATCCCTCCCAAAAAAAGACACATTGGGGGAGGGGCAAAGCAGGAAAACAGGCATATTAAAATACTGTTCTCAGAGCTGTGGTCCAGTCATTAAGTCAAACAGTCAATAAACATTAATTAAGCACCAGAAACTAGGGATTCAAAGAAAGGTAAAACATGGTCTCCCTCAAGGAACCCACAACTTTTTATTAAATTAATATAAAATAATACACATTATTAAATTAATATAAGAATTAGGAGGGATCAGGAAAGGCTTGATGCAATAGGTGGGATTTTAGCTGGGTCCTGAAGGAAGCTGGGGAGCTGGGAGACCAAGGGGAGGAGGCATGGGGGATAGACAGCCTGAGAAAATGCCCAAGGCCCAGAGGTAAATGAGGGAGGGCTTTGAGCGACAAACAGCATTTTGCATTTGACTCTGGAGGCAATAAAGAGCCACCGGAAGGTATTTGAGTAGTGGGATGAAGTGGTCGGACCTTCGCTTTAGGAAAACCAATTTAGTGGCTAGAGAATGGACTAGAGTGGGGAGAGACTGAGGCAGGCAGAGCCTCCCACCACCAGCAAGCTGTTAAAATCAATAATCCAGACTTGAGTTTATGAGAGCTTGCACCAGGGTGGGGGCAGTGTCAGAAGAGAGGTGGGGCAAACAGGAGAGCTTTCAGATTTGAGAAACAAGAAGACAGCAGTAGATTAGACAAGGGGAGTGGGGGTGGGGGGGTGAATCTACAATGACAGATTGGGAGCCTGGGGGCCTAGGGGGATGATGGTGCCCTCAACAGCAACAGGGAAGTTGGGAAGAGTCAAGGATTTGGGGGAAAGATAATGAATTCTTTTGGACTTTGTGAATTGAAATGCCTACAGGCCATCCAGTTCAAGATGGCCAGATGGCCGTTGGTGATGAGAGGCTGGAGCTCAGGAGAGAGGGTAGGGCTGGACACACAGACTTATGAATCATGGTCTCTCTTGGTCTCCCTTTTGTGGGCAACGAGCCTACATTTAACTGCTGGATGAAATTCTTAGCCAGCATCTACGTAATTTTTGTCGTCCACTGCTTATTCTTGGTTTTTCAATAACTTGATAAAATGATTGGGGGGCAAATCTCTCACACTGTAACATGGTGGAGATAGAGAGCTGCCTCAGAGCTAGGAAGACCTGGGTTCAAGTCCTGACTCTGACCAAACTGGTGCCATGACCCTGGCAGATCACAATCTCCTTCAGCCTCCAAGATGAAGAGAAGGTGCTCACCAGGGGCCTCTATCCCCAAGAACCCATAGGCCCAGCTCCTCTCTCTACCCCATCTGTCCACTTCTTCTTGGGGGTTTTGTTTTTTTCCTTAGCTCAGATGCATCAGTGGCCTGACTGGACGCAGACAGCTGACTCGGGAATAACTTCCATGTAAATCACGTCTTTTGTTGTCTCTTAAAAGGAAGCCAGTGTCATTGTGAGGCTAGTTAGTGCTTGACATAGATGGAACCCACTCGTTCTTTTTCTGAGAAAGGGTTCATCATGTAGTCAGCTGGATGTTGAAGTAGACAGATCTAAGTTCAAATCCAGCCTCAGACACTTACTAGCTGGACACGTCAGTGAACCTGTCTGCCTCGGTTTACTCATCTGTAAAATGGGGGTCATTGTGGAGGCAAAATGAGCTAATACTTGTAAAGTGCTTTGCAAACCTTGCATTGCTATGGGAACGGTTTATTATATACTCCATGCTTGGGAGTTACTGTCTCCCTCAATTCCAACTTGTCCTAAAGGACCGGATCCCCAAAGGGCAGTGGCTGCTTCTATTCTCCAGTTTCTAGAGCCCCCGAGGAGGTGAGAGGGAGCTTTTCCAGGGTTATAGCTCATGAGCCCCTATCAGCGTGCTTCCCTGACCATGACACTAACCAGTCAGCCCACGTAATGAAATTGTAGGCAGGTGGTACAAGAGCCTGGGACCGGCTCTCCCACCGGTACATGCAGAGTCCAGGGGAGAGGGGGCTAGAGCTTAGACAGCACATGTGACAAGGGGTCCACATGACCCGGTGCTTGGTGGGCGACTCCAGAAGTGCCCTTGAGGCCTATTGCCAGGAAGTCGCCTTCCCCGCTCCTCCCATGTCCAAACACAGATATTGCCACCAATCACTGCTCTCAGGGGGCCCTGGGGGATGCATCACTGAGGCAGTTCACAAGGCTCTCCTCTGCCTCCAACGGTCTTCTCTCTTCAAGCCTGCCGGGTACTCAGCTCCCTGTGGCCAATGGGCTTAGCCATGTCTGCAGGCTTTCCCACAAACGCTGATGCACTCAGCCGAGGGCTGCTAAGCACTGCTCACTCCTAGACCAATGCCCCTAACTCTCCATTCCCTGCCGTGCTTTGGACAGGATTGTGCTGTGGGTCACTCCCACTGAAGAGGTTTGCCTACAATTCCCAGAAAAACCTTAAAACTTTTAGATTCCTTGCAGACTCACTTATCTCTGACAAAAAGAACCTGGCTTCGGTTTTGTTTACTGGTCCCAGGAAACCCTTGAAGTTTTAGAAACTGCCTTATTTCCCTTTGAAAGCAAACTTCCCCTCCCAGCTCCCTTCATTATCTATTCTCATCATCTGTTCAAATCACTCAGACATTCCAAACGGAAATTCTCACCTGGACCAACTGGTTTTCCCATTGTTTTGCCTTCCTGGCCATTCCCACCCTTAATCCTAGCTAGGCGCCAGCGTTCCCTTCGCCCCAACTTGCTGGCCACCCCCATCCAGATCTCCCTAGACCCCTCCTCCCCTCACCCCAAACTGCTTGGCCACTCCTTGGACCCCTCCTCCCGTCACTCCAAACTGGATGGGCTCACCTTTCCCCCATTCTGAGGCTGAGCTGTTCTCAAGCTTAGAAGCTGAGACCCCTCATGCCTGCCCATCCTAAGGGCATCACATGGCCTATCCACCCCAGCCCCCACTCAGAAGCTGGGAATTTCTCATGCCCCCAGAGGATGAGACCTCATGCCCGCCCGTAAAGGGCGTCACCTGGCCTGACCACCTTAGCCCCAGCCCCTACTCAGACTCTCAGCTTTCTAGACTGCCTCACGCTGCTCTTTCTTGTGAGCGTCACCTGACCACCTTGAACCCTATTTAGATCACTGATGTTTGGGTTCCTTTGGAGTCTGGCCTATATGCTTATGTTTAATAAACTTTTTCTCTGGCTGGAAGAAGATCTGAGTTGAATTCATTCAGTCAGATCCGCGCTGTGATTTGGGCTTTTTCCCACGATCTTGGGGTGCTTCTGTGCATCTAAGAGCACCCCAAACCCCCCCCCTTCACCACCACTGGCTGCCTTCACCCTCCTCACAGGCTGCTGAGAATCAGGACACTCGTGCTGACTGGCTCCCACTACAGATTTCTGGACACCACCTCCACTGGGCCCTCCATGCTGCCAGGCAAGCCTTCCACACCTCCCTATTCATCGGCTCTCTCACTCCCAAGTCATTCTGAGGGTCCTCAAGCTTCCCCTAGCCCTCTCCTCCCACCTCACAGCTGAGGACCTGGTATGTCCCTAAAGTCAATCACCAAGAGCTCTTCCTTATCCTACTCCTCATCCTCCTCCTCTTCCCACATCACTCAGACATCTCCCTCCACTATCTCATCCTTCACTGCTGTCTCATAGGAAGAGGCGGCCCTTCTCCTTGCCAAGGCCAGCCCCTCCCCATGCCCGGGTGACCTCATTCCACCCTATCTCCTCCAATAGACCACCCCTCTGTCATCGCCCCCCTCTGCCCAATCCTCAGTGTCTCCCTGCCTGCTGGCTGTCTCCATGTCTCCCCCATCCTCCATCGGGTCCAGCCATGCCTGTGGCTCTCCTCGCTTTCTCTTGCCCTTCTCAGCTAAGTTCCTTGAGAAACCATTTGCTCTCTGATCACTCATTTCTCAACCCTCTGCAGTTTGGCTCCTGACCTCATCCTGCCATCGAAACCATCCTCTCCGAAGTTAATCACAATCTCCTAGTTGCCAAGTGCAATGGCCTTTCCTCAATCCTCGTCCTTCCTGACCATGTGGATCATTCTTTTTTTTTCTCCAGATCTTTATGACGCTGATCTCTTCTGGCTCAGATGCTCCCTGTCTGATGACTCCTCAGTCTCCTTTGAGAGCATCATTCCGATCTGCTAGCCATGGGATCTAGCCCAGGCTCATGTCACCATATGCCTTTTGGCCATCTTGAACCAGACATCCTGTAGGAATCTCAAACTCATTATGTCCAAAACAAAATCCGTGACTTTTCCCCCCAAATCCATGAATCTTCCAAACCTCCCTATTTCTGTTGAGGGTACCACTGTGCGTCCAGTAACTGAGGCTCATGTTCTGAACTCCTCACTCCTACTGATCTCACACATGTGATCTGCTGTCACCTTATCACTTCTATATTCTTGACCCGTATCCTCTCCTCTCCTCTGACACAGCTCCCTCCCCTCCCCTCACACCCGTACTATTGCAATAACTGTCAGGGAGGGGTGTCTGCCTGCCTGCCTCCCTGCCTCCCCCCACCTGCAGTCCATCTTCCATTCAGCCACTAAGGTGATTTTCCTAAGATGCAGATCTGACCAAGTCACCCCCCCTCCTCAATAACCTTCCTTGACTCCCTATCATCCAGGGTCCAATACAAAATGCTGTGCTTGGCTTTCAAAGCCTTTTGTCACCTGCTTCCTCCTCCCTTTCCAGTCTTCTCACAGTCAGTGTCCACGTGGATTCTTGGATCTAGCGTCCCCAGCCTCTCCCTGGCTGCTTCCCATGCTGGGAACACTCTCCCCTCTCACCCCCACCTCCTGGCTTTCCTGGCTTCCATCAAGCCACGGATCAAATCTTAGCCTGTGCATGAGGCCCTTTGGGGAGCTCCCTCCCCCTCCCCCTCCCCAGGGCTTTAGCTCCAGGGACCTGTCTTGGGTGAAGGCAGGACTGAGTTTTTGTCTCTGTGTCCCTAGCGCTCAGCACGGGGTCAGGGGCTCAGCTGCTCCAACATATGATCACTTGGTGACCATCCCACAGATTTCACCTTGAGTACAAGGGGAGGAGGCACAAAGGAAGTTGTGGGTGATTCCTGGTCTCCTCGCCCTCCTTCCTCTGCCTTTGTCACCCCAGAGGCCGACAGAGCTGCCCAGGACTAGTGCCACAGCCATCACCAGGACGCTGGTCAGCCTGCACTGCTGGGCCTCTCCACTGGGAGTTGAGTGGGTCCTCAGGCTGCCCCTGGGGTCACTCTCAGAGCCTCTCCTCGGTGACCAGAGCTGCTCTGAATGTGAGCATAGAGACCCCTTCAGGATCCCAGAGTCAACTCCATGTCACAACAGGCATCAGAGGAAGACTTTGTGGAGGTACAGGCACAGTTATCCGACCCTCAGCAGTTGATGAGGTTACCAAGGGAGCCCAGGAGAGAGCCTTGGGGAGATCCCCACCATCCGGGGCCAAGACTTGGCTCATACTCCAGCAAAGGAGACAGGGAGGAAACAAAGGACAGGAAGGGGCAGCACAGACGGCGGTGTGGGCAGGACGGCAGGCTGACCACTTCAGCTAGCAGGGCTCTGGAGCGGGGCCCACAGCCTGATCCCCCTCGCCTTGGTCCGGCAGGCAGAATTTTGCCAACGGCTCCTTCCCCTCCAGGGGGAGGCTCTCAGTCCCCATCCTTTGACAAGGCCCAGCTTGGTGGGCCACTGCCAAGAAGAAAAGAGGCAGAAAGAAGGAGGCTCAAGTGTTTGCTCCCTCCCTCCAGGCCTTGCCTCTGAGTCCCTGATCAGTTTGGACCGAAGGTTTCACCAGAGGGACAGACTTGGGCCAGAGAGCAGTGTGGTCGGGTGGGAGGGGCCGAGCTGAGGAGGAGCTGGGCCCCAGGGGTCTGAGCTGGGCCCCAACTGGGGAGAAAGCCTAGCAATTGTCCGTACCAGGTCATAGGTAATGCCAGGCTGGGAGAGCAGTGTGTGCATTTAGGGACGTCAATCTGGACCCGATCCCAAGTCTTCCAATCTCGTCTCCATCCCCCACCCCCACCCTGTCTAAGCCATCTCCAGCCTCCCAATGCTGGGACCAACCTGCCTTTCCTTCCAACCTTGTAGACACCTCCTCTGGAGCCAGCAACACCTCCAGACCCTGGGCCTCAGCAACATCTGGGACAGAGAAAGGACATAGGGTTGGCTGGCTGGAGTCCTGGAGAGGGCCCCAGCGCCAGAGCCGAGACCCCTCCATGGCCATGGGACAACGTGTACAGTGTCAGGCACTGAGCTTGGTTTCTCTAAATGTCATTTCATTTGATCCTCACAACAGCTCTGAGTTGCAGGTGCTGCTATTATTTCCATTATACAGATAAGGAAACTGAGGCAAGCAGAGGTGAAGTACCTTGCTCAAGGTTACACAGCTGGTAAGCATCTGAGGTCGGATTTGAACTCAGGACTTCCTGACTCCAGGCCTATGGCTCTATCCAGTGGGACACCGACTAAGGGAAGTCCTCCCCACACCCCTGAGCTGTGGTGGCCTTCGCTATACATCAGGGTGCCTTCAAGGTCCCTCTCTGCATCGGGACAGGGGCCAGCTCCTCCCTGGTCCTGCTTCCTCCCTCCCAAGGGAATCCCGCCCCTCCTTCACTCTCCCCAAGCAGCCGCCTCTCTTTCCCCCATCTGCCTCTTGTCCACTAGTGTTCCGGGCCAAGTTTTCTCCTCCTTTCGAAGGGGATGGGCTGAAAGCCGCTGACTCCCCCTCCCCCTCAGTAACTTAGCACCCAGCCTGTGCAGAGCCTTCTTCCCCAGCCTATGGGAGCAAGGGGAGGTCTGGCCTGCTGAGCACCCCTCAGGCAGCTCTGCCAGGTCAGGCTCCCCTACTCATCTCCTTGTCGTTCCCAGCTGCAGCAGCCACTGAGGAGCCAGGCATGGCAGATCTGCAGAGAGGAGCCCTAAGGCACCAGGAGGGGCAGCCCAGCACAGTGAACCTGGGACGGCCAGGGGAGCCAGACTTTGCCCCAGGGGTGGAATGTCCTGGGATAAGGAAGCCTTCCCTGAGAGAGGATGAGTCCCCTCTAAACCTTCCTGTCCCGAGGTCGTCTGGCTTCTGCTGGGAGGGGACCCCCACCCCCAAGGCAGCCCAGGCCCCTCTGCTGACCCGGGGGCCAAGCAGAATAGGTCCTAAGGACAGCGCTCCCTTCCTCTCCTTAAAGGCAACACATAACAGCCATCTGAGGTCATGGGTCTGAGTTCCAATCCTGCCTTCGAGGCTCAGCTACCGGAGTGACTGCTTCTTCTCGCTCCCCTAGCCCTTTAGCCCTGTCTAGGATCTTGTGTTCCAATCTAGAAATGTCTCTCATCACGGATGACTGACCTCTGGAAGAAGCCTCAGACCAAGCCACTCCAGTCCCAATCCTCCGGCTCCTTGGGGAAGGAGATGACATCCCCCCTCCACCCCAAATCTCCTCCAGGTGCCATGTGCCCAGCTGTCCTGTGACACCCACCTCCCAGGAGCACTCTAGCCCCACAGGGTCCTCTCCTCCCGAGAGCACTCTGGCCCTGCAGGCTTCCCTCCTCCCAGGAGCACTCTGGCCCTGCAGCTTTCTTCCTCCCAGGAACACTCTAGCCCCACAGGCTTCCCTCCTCCCAGGAACAGTCTGGCCCTACAGGTTTCCCTCCTCCCAGGAGCACTCTGGCCCCACAGGCTTCCCTCCTCCCAGGAGCACTCTGGCCCTGCAGGCTTCCCTCCTCCCAGGAGCACTTTAGCCCTGCAGGCTTCCCTCCTCCCAAAAACACTCTGGTCCTGCAGGCTTCCCTCCTCCCAGAAGCACTCTGGCCCTGCAGGCTTCCCTCCTCCCAGGAGCACTCCCACAACAGAAGGCAATTGTCCAGCAGGGCAAGCCCAGAGGCAGCCTCTCTCTTTCTGATTCCGGGAAGCTCTGTCCCACCACTGACTCTTGGGGACTGGGCAGGCTCCTTCTCTGTGCTTCCCTGCACCACCACGCTGTCTCCCAGATCTTTGAGATAACACCGTTGCCTTCCCAGTCTGGGCTTATGAGAGGGAGTGTCTAATTTTCCCTATTAAATGTCAGCTTACTGCATTCATTGCTTATCTCTCCCAGCTCCCCCCCAGCACCCCCAGGGCTCTGTCCCATGTCAGCCTTTAAGGAGTGAAGGTGTGAACGAAGCTGCCAGGGAAAAGGTGGAGGGCAGACCTGAGAGTCCAGCAGGCCTTACCCGAGGGTGGGGCATCCTTCCTCGCCAGCTCCCACAGCTGCCTCAGGCCCATCTTCTCCCAGGCTTGAAGGGCCACTTGCCAGGCGCCTCCAGCTCCACGGTGAGTGACCAGGAGCACAGCCAGGTCTGGGCGGTCTGCCTTCTCTATCTGGCCCCAGGGGATCCGGGCCCACTGAGAGTCCTGGGGGCCCCAGGCTGTCAAAGCCAGCTTGAACCTCTTGAGCTGCTCAGCTGTCAGCTCCTCCAGGTACCGGGCCAGTCTGCATACACTGCTCTCCATCATTGTGGGGCCTCAGTGGACTGCCCAGATCCAAGACAAAGGCACAGGATGCAGGGCACAGAACCCCCACCTCCTTCCTTCCCTAGGGAAGGGGGTGAGGAACAGAAAGAAGAGGAGGAAGAGAAGAGGGGTGAGGAGGAGGAGAAAGAATAGAAGAAGTGAGGAGGAGGAAGAGAAGAGAGGGTGAAGAGAGAGAGGAGAAGAGGTGATGAGGAGGAGACAGAGGAGACAGAGGAGAAGTGGGGGTGAGGAGGAGGAGAGAGAAGAAAGAATAGAAGAGAAGGTGAGGAGGAGAAGAAGGGATGAGGAGAAGGAGAAGAGAGAAGAGGAGAAGGAATGGGGGAGAAGAGGAGGAGAGGCCAGAACAGGAGGAGGGAAGATAGGAAAGGAGGAGCTGAGGGGGAAAGAGACAAGGAGGAGAGGAAGGAGCCCTCCAAGGTGACTGATCTAAGCCCACTCCCAGAGGAACCCCCCTCTCTGCCTCAGGCAGCCCCAAGGAGCTCAAAACGGAGACCCTGGGGAGCCCCTGGGGCTGAGCAGATCCGGGACTACCATCAGACAGGTCTTTGCCCTACCCCACCCCCCAGCCTCGGGTTCTCCCTTCTCTGTCAAGTGGGGGTCAGCCTAGGGGATGTCCAAGGTTGCTTCCAGCTCTCTTCTTTCCTCTGGTCATTGCACCCTCTGCTCCCACCCTCCACCGCTACAGCTTCCCCTGTGGAGCCGGCTCGGGCAGGATGGAGAAGGGTGGGGGTCCTGGTTCCTCCTAAGTATTTCTGTTCCTCATGATTTGGGGGCCGGCCCCGGAAATGAGAGCACAACCTAATTTAGTTGGAGCTTAACTGGAAACCACAAGCTTCCTCCTTGGCAGTTCTGATCACAGGACGGACGGAAGGGAAGGAAGCAGAGGGCTCCTTCCTGCCCCTTTGGCGTCACAACCATGTTCTCTCCCTGTTCCTTCTCCTCTTCCAAACTCCCTATGACTGTCCAGTGCCCAACTTTCTGATTCCATCCTTCCCCCTACCCCAAGGGCAAAATCGGGGGTGATGGAGGGAAATTTCAGAGGTTCAGATTCAGGCTTGTCGCCAATGTAAGAGCCAGTGAGAACACCCCTCCATGTTCACTAGGTGTGAATGTATAGAATGTGCCAGCTCCTAGTCTGATCAGCCACCATACCTTGACCCCAACACAGCGGTGCCAGTCAGGTGTAGAGAAGCCCCAAACACCTCACCCTAGTCAAGCAGCACTTATTAAACACCAACTATGTGCCAGGCAGTTAGGTGGAGCCCCAAGGGCCTGGCGTCAAAGACCTGAGTTGAAATGTGAAGCTGGTCCAAGGGGGGCACCCTAAGGAGCAGGGTTTCCAGGGTTTCCAGGAGCTGGCTGCAACCCCTTTGTCTCATGGACTCTTTCAGTCGAAGCCCACTTTCCCCTGGATTCTGTCTATGCTGGTGAGAGATGGTGTCACAGACTTCTGGGGGATATTTTGTAAAAAACATACATGTGTGAGCATGTGAGTATATGAGTACATGCATGTGTGGGTGCTCGTGTGTGCATAACATATATGTCTATCTGTTTCATGTAGTCTAGCCCCTATCTATTCATCTTCTGTCAAACCCTTCAATTGCATGTGAACCCAATCTAACCAATTCTGCAGCCTGCCAGGTTAGTATTACTGTCTAAAAAAGGAAGAGGGTTAGTCTGGCACACTCTAGTACCCTCCATGAAGCCACGATGTCTGGTGATCATGGCCTCCCTCTCTAGAGGGCCACTATCTCTTCAAGGACCCCACAGCAAGCTCATGCACTGGCCTGGAGTTTGGGGCTCCTTCCTCTTTTCCCTTTGGGGGAGGGGTACAGTCTGGTTTGGTGAAAGGGATGCAAAGATGCAGTCAGAGGACCTGGGTGTGACCCCTGCTCTCTGATTTACACTCTTCTTCTCTAGACCATAGCTGGCTAGATGACGTCTGCTCTTCTCCAGCTGGGGGGCCATGTTGGCTACCATTCTCCAGGCCCAGCTCAGGACCCAAGGCTGTAGTAAAACTGGGCCCGGGGCTCTCTTACATGACCTTGCTCACCTCCACACTGGCCTCTCCAGTTCTGTTATCACCAGTGCCAATGTCATTCTCCTCGACAGAGGAAACCGACCCATTTTATGAGGAGGAACCAGGCTGGGAGAGGGCAGGCCCAAGCCCAGGCCTCTAAGGTCCAAGTCACGTCCACCAACCGTAGATACCACATGGAGCTCAGCACACAGTGGGTGCTGCAGCCAGTAATTTGACCAATGCTCACTGAATGCTGAACAGCTAGCCATTTATTAAGCACCTTCTGTGTATAAAGCCACATCCTGGGGGCTGGAGAAGATGAAAAATTCAGAAAAGATCAGAGCCATGCCCTTGCTAAGATCTCAAGCTAGAAGAGGAATAATTAATGTAGCTTTTGAATGAAGGCCTGCCATCCAACAATCAGACTGAGGTGGAAGTCAGTTGGAACAACCCCTGTGAAGGCCAAGTCTTGGGGACCTTCTCATGCTTCACCCCTGCTGCCAACCTCGCACATACAGGCCTGGGCTCAGTCTCCCAAACCAGTCTAACAGGTTGGGTGCCCAGAGCAAGCCTGCTGCTCCCTTCAAGTTCTAGGGCAACCCTGAGGAGTTGAGAACAGAGCTCACAGGCTCCCAACCAGGGTCTCCTGCCCCTGGCACCATCACCTCCTCCATATCCATTAACCAGTTAGCGTGATTAGCTTTTACAAGGGGCTGCTTACTGAGAAGATGTAACCAGGGCACAGTCCTCCACAAACCCTCACGTCCCTGGTAGACAGACCCAAGCTCTGCCGCAAAACATCCTCTCGCCAAGCTCCCATCTGGGCCCGGCACAGACGATGAGTCACTCCGTGGCTCAGAGGACGCGCTCCCCTGACGGTCTGGGTCAGACAGGCCACTTGTCAGGCCCGCCTCCTTGACATGCTCCTCTGCTCTGGTAACCAGCAGACTCTGCAATGAACTTGGGCACCAGAGTCCTAACCTGGTCTGGTCTGCTTCCATTAACCACTTGCCTATGATGGGTATAGAAAGAGACAAAAAACAAGTGGTGTGATCCATCGCCAGCCGCCCAGAGGCCCAAGTGGGAGAAAAGGCAGGCTGTGCCCAGAGGCTACCATGACACCCTCCCTCAGCACCAGGGAAGAGACGCCCCATTCAGCCGCCAGCAAGAAGCCCTCGTCAGACAAGAGACAGCGAGAGGCCTGGGCCTGCTCCCCGGTGTGGAGAAAAGACCCCGTCCAGTCCACGTGGCCATAAGCCGGGGACTGACCCCACACAAGATACAGAGCCAGCCAGTCAGTCCCCTGGCTAGGTCACAGAGTGTGGAGAGTCAAGGTCAAGATAAGCCCTGCCGCTCCTCCCCTGGGGCTCTGGTTCTGGCACACAGGGTTAAATGAGGCACATTCAGACCAAGAGAGTGACAGGAAAGGCCAGGAAGGAGGAGAGGGATTGGGGAGGGGAAGGGAACTCAGAGAACCTGGGGATGTTCACTTCTGCCACCTCCTGGCCATGGGGCCTGGGGGAGCCTCGAAGAGGTGATGGGCCCTTCCAGCTCCAACCCGCTTGGGACGCTGAGAAATGCGACATCTCAGCACTTCTGCTTTAGTTTTCGGTAAATGAAGAGGTTGGGGTGGACGACAACTTAACTCGACTGACAGTGCAGCCAAGAGAACCTTTGATGCTACCATGGGGGCAGCCAGAGGGCTCGAGTTCAAACCCACGTCATACTCCTGTGCTCCCTGTACAAGGGGGTTTGGAACAGAGGCTTCTTAGCTCCCTTTGACCCTCAGTGAGGACCTAATACATGCTTCTTGACTGACCTGTCGACCACAGCCAGCCCCCTGCTCTACTGGGGGACAAGAATTCCACATGCAGGCTCCCTCTGCCAAGCCTCAGCTACTGTCCAGAGTTGTCAGGGGGCTCTGGAAACAGCAGGCTGCTCTGGACCCCCCCACCCCATCCTAGTTGTGGGACAGAGCCCCAGGAGGGGCTGTCACAGCTTAAGATGCAGCTGCAGCGGGCCAAGAGAAAATGGAAACCTCCCCCACCCCAGGTTAGCCAGTAAGAGACTGAGCAGGCTATATGCAGGCACCAGACCAGAGGGCTGAGGAGGGGGCAACCAGAGACAACAGGGCGGATGGCTTTCTGGGAGTTTGCCTGGGAACAAAGTGGGGCAGACCTGGAGGGACTTGGCACACCAGGATCGAGCCAGGGAAGGTGTGGGGATGCTGTTGGCAGCAGGGGAAGGCAGAATCAGGGGCACAGACAGGGCACAGAGGGCTGGGCTTTGGCAAGCAGGCTCCCCTCCTCCCCCACATCGCTGCCATTCCTTGTCTCCTTGGAATTCAGCACAGACCTCGACACGGCAGATGCTTCCAGAACTCTAGCAAGGCACTATTGCGACGGTGGCATCAGAGGTCTCTGAGGGGCAGGATAGGGGAGAAGGGGGAACCTCCACCTCCACATTAATGCCGGAGTCAGGGCCCCTTGCAGAGGTAGGGGGAGAAGGCGTAGGAGGCTTTAGGAGAGGCTTGGGTGATCCACTGCATGCAATGGGAGGGACCGGGGGAATGGCGTGGTGAGCAATGAGCTGTGGGAAGAGGAAAAGGGCATTTACTGAGCGCTACACATGAGAACCAAAGAAAGACCACAAGGAGGTGGTGCTGGTGAAGGGAGGGAGGACGGTGAATCCAGGACAGGCAGGGACAATGACTTGGGGAGATGAGGAGGAAGGTGAGGGCAGGCGTATGACCAGCCCTGGGCGCGTGGCCCGAGTGCCTACTGTGCACTAGATGCTATGGGTGGGGTCAGATGGGCACTGTACCAAAACCCCAAGGTGTGAAGGTGGGGGGGGCACTCTGGATACATGGAGGTAGGAGGTAACCTTGGAAGGGGGAGGGAGGATCCGGGCCAAGTCTTGAAGGAACGAGGAAGTGGAGATGAAGGAGCAGAGCATGCCAGGTACGGAGGTGGGGTGGGGGCGGACAGGGCCAGTGCCAGTGCCACTAGGCTGCTCAGGCCATGGTGGAGAAGAGAGAAGGTATGAAAAGCCTCGCAAGATTGGAGGGTCAGGCTGCAAAGGGCTCTGAGAGCTAAACCAGGTGTGTTATGCTGGATCCTGGAGGACAGAGTGGACCCCTGGAGTTTACTGAGTAGGGGGCTGAACATTAGGGAAATCACTTTAGAGCTGTGTGGATGATAGATCATCGTGGACAGACTTGAGGCAGAGACCAGCCAGGAATCTTGGACAAGAGTGCAGGGGCAAGGTGATGAGGGCTTGCATCAAGACAGCAGCAGGGAGTGAAGGGGAGACTCTTTATCTGGAGATAGACAGATGTTAAGTTTGTGATACCTCTGGGACATCGAGTGTGATGACCAAAAAGCAGGCAGAAATATAAGGCTGTGCTTCAGGAGGCTCAAACTGCTTCTCCAGAGGTGGGAATCATGGGAGCTGAGAATACCAAGCAAATACCAAGGCTAGAACAGAGAGAGCCCTGGTGAACCCTCAGGTGGTGGGTGTGAGCACAAAGATCCAGCAAAGGGGGCTGTGCCAGTGCAGAGAGGCTCCAGGTGCTACATCAGAGGCTGCTGCGGGGCCCAACAGGAGGGTGGAGAAAGGCCATGACATCTGGCTGGCTGTGGGGGCTGAGGAAAGCCAGGTGGGCGAGGGAAGATCTCAAGTCAAGCAGGACGGCATCTCCTTCTGCTCAGAAGCCTCTCACTTCCTTCAAGGCTTAGCTCAGTCACCATCTTCTCCAGGAAGCCCTTCCTGATACCCCCAAGGGCTCGCATCCCCTTTCTCCATAGCTCCCTTCGATTGATTCTGTATAGACTCATATAGAGATGTCTCCTCCAACAAAATCCAAGTTCCCTGAGGGCAGGAATATCTTCATTTCTCCAGTTCACACTAAATACTGGACAGTCACTTCACTGAACTCTGAGTCCCAGAGATAAGGAAGCACTTGCTATCCATAAGAGAGGGATGGAGTACGAACTAACTGAGCAGCCAGGGCTGTCTCAAGCCAAAGGAAGAATGTGCCTGCAGGTCCTCCTGCTCTGGTCAAGCCAGCTTGTGGAGGTGAGGCTCCCCGAGAGGGGAGGCCCCTCAAGCATTAAGTACCTATATGCAGGTAGGGCTTGCGACAGCCGAATGGAGGGAAAGGGGGCCAAGGGGAGTGAGATAAAAGCAAGGGGAAGGCCCTGGTCAAATGCAAGGGGCTGAGGGGCCAATGGTTCACACATGGCAGGGAGAGGAGAGGACCTGAACTGAACCGGGCCTTTGAGGGAGGGACCGGAGGGGACCGCATGCCTTTCCCTCCCACAAAGGCTCCCCAGGTCTATGTCCCCAGCACAGCCCACCCCCAGCCTAAACATAACCTATAAATTCTATTGGAATGAAAAGGCAGGTAAGCTAACAGAAACTGAGGGCTAGAGATACTGGGGGAGGGTAGGCTGGTGGCATAACGGAACTTACCAACTATGCAGCTCTGGGGAAGTCGCCTCACCTGAGCCTGTTTCCTTATCCGTCAAACGGGGATAAATCTATAGGTCCCACTTCACAGGGCTGATTTGGGGTTCAAGTGTTATGCCTATAAAACACCCTGACTACTTTAATGTGGCATATAAAAGTCAGTTATTATTAATCTGTGCTAACAGAAGCCCCTGGGAATAGAGGCTCTGGATTCAAATCTTGACTCCACCACTCATGCACAGCCCGAGGAAAGTCCCCTACCCTGAGCCTGTTTCCTGGTGGCTGTGGGAATGAAGGAAGGGGAAAGAACCCTGAGTTCCTCAAGGTAGGTAATGATAACAACCACTGACCTTTGTTCCCAGGGCTTTAAAGATTTCCAAGACTTTACTGGATTCTCTCAAACTCAGGAGTGCCTGTGCCTCAGGGATAGTTCCACTCCGTCCCCACTCCAAATGCCTCTCCTCCACAAGCCCTCGATGTTCTGGAGCAGGGATGCTGCACCTTCATCTTAGGGCCTTCCCTCTGTGATTCTCTCATTTATCCATCCAGAACTGGCTGGCACAGAGTGTTTGCTTCTCTTCTCCCCCACTAGGCTGTGAGCTCCCTGAGGGCAGGGGCTGCCTTTGCCCTTTCCTCGTATGCCAGCCATTTAGCCCAGGGCCTGGCACAGAGGAGTGCCCAGTAAATGTTTATTTGTTCGTTTTCTGGACCCTTCAGACGGGTAGCCTAGGCACCCCCTCCCAGAATCATGTTTTTAAATGCATAAAATTACAAAGGAAGCCAATTATGTAGAAATAATTATTTTTTAAAAATTCAGGTTAAGAACCCAAGGCCACATCGTGCTACCTTCACTCCCACCCCCAACCCCAGTTCCAGAACCCAAAACCTCGACCAAACCTGTGCCATTGATCCTGGAAGGAAAGTATGAATCCCACTCAGCATCACAGGGACTTTCATCAGTGTGGTCTCCCAGGCCCAGAAGCTCTCTTTGCTTTTGTACACTAAATCCATGCACAATGTGTGCTTAATTCATTCCTTCATGAAGTCCCTAAGGCTCAGAGGGAAAGTGTTGGGATCAGTACCACTTTCCATTATAGTTTAAACCCAGGTAGTCAGACTTTGAGGCTAATGAAATGGAAGGGCTTAGAACCTGGCTGGTATAGGGGAAGGTATGAAGGAAGAGGGTGTCGATGTTGCTGGTGATAGGAGAGAAAAGCAAGTCTCAGAGGGCAATGAATAGGGCAGGCTTCTTCGGAGCTGGCCTTCAGGCACAGGCTGGAACCCCAGGTCCATGGTGGAAACTTACCTGTGGAAGACAATCACTAATGATGTGCAGATCTTCAGAGAGGAGTTCAGGGTAAGGGAATCATTCGCTCCAGAGTTTCGTGCAGACACAGCTTTATTGACCTGGAGCCAATCATCTACCCCCGCATATTCTGCCCCTGGGCTGCCATCAAGGGAGAGTCACATCTGATATTCACTGCTACCTTCCAACTAGGTTTATATAGGCTTCTCTTGCATGGGAGTAGCAGTACTACAACTCTTCCTGGATTTGTGGGAGCCTCACACCCTGTGTCCCCCAAGGGGCTGGGGCTTTTCCCACTTGTACACCACCATGAGGTAACTTTGCCTGCCTCCCTCTCTGCAGCCCTTCCTTTGTCCTCAGCTACAACTTATGCTTCTGGGCAGTTTTCAGGATCATGGCTTCACCTTAAAGCCCATGTGTCTTTTCTGGTGCTCATTAAGGTTGGAGCGATGGCTGAAAGGCTTGCCACACACACCACATTTATAGGGTCTCTCTCCAGTGTGAATTCGCTGGTGGCTGCTGAGCTCAGAGTTTCGAACAAAGGCCTTGCCACACTCATTACATACATAAGGCTTTTCCCCAGAATGAAGTCTCTGGTGCTGTCTCAGTTCTGAGCTCCCTCGGAAGGTCTTACCACATTCATTACATTCATAGGGCCTCTCTCCAGTGTGAATTCTCTGGTGGTGAACCAGGCCAGAGCTCCCCTTGAAAGTCTTCCCACATTCAGTGCACTCATAGGGTTTTTCTCCAGTGTGTATCCTCTGGTGACTGATGAGGTTCGACCTTTGACTAAAGGCTTTTCCACACTCATTGCATTCATGAGGTTTCTCTCCAGTGTGAATTCTCTGATGTTCTGTAAGATTTGAGATCAAGATGAAGGCTTTTCCACACTCGTGACATTCAAAGGGTCTCTCTCCAGTATGGATTCTCTGGTGCTGAATGAGTTGTGAGCTCTCCCTGAAGGTCTTCCCACACTCATTACATGGATAGGGTTTCTCTCCTGTATGAATTCTCTGATGTTGTCTAAGGCCTGAGCTTCTCATGAATGATTTCCCACATTGATTACATTCATGAGGCTTTTCTCCTGTGTGAATTTTTAGATGTTCAATTAGGTTTGAGCTCTGGCTGAAGGCCTTCCCACATTCATTACATTCGTGAGGTCTTTCTCCAGTGTGAATTCTCTGGTGTTCAATAAAGTTTGAGTTCCAGTTAAAGGATTTCCCACATTCATTACACTGATAGGGCTTCTCTCCAGTGTGAATTCTCTGGTGTTGAATAAGAGTTGTGCTCCGACCAAAGGATTTCCCACATTCATTACACTGATAGGGCTTCTCCCCAGTGTGAATTTTTTGATGATGAATAAGCTGTGAATGTGCCCTAAAGGCCTTCCCACACTCACTACATTCATATGGTTTTTCTCCAGTGTGAATTCTCTGGTGCTGAATAAGGTTTGAGCTCCAAGCAAATGCTTTTCCACATTCATTGCACTGATAGGGTTTCTCTCCAGTGTGAACTCTCTGGTGTTGGAGCAGGTAGGAGCTTTGGCTGAACACTTTCCCACATTCATTACATTTACAGGGTTTCTCTCCTACATGGATCTTCTGATGCTTAATTAATTCCGCACTGATCTTAAAGCTCTGATTGCATAGGTCACATATATGGGATCTGACCCCTGTGGGAATTCTCTTCCGGGGAACTAGATTTGGGTCCACATTGACATTCTGCCCAAGTTTGGCACTTGCCATCTCTATCTTTTCAGGAGGAGGTTTCTGGTCTACTGTAGGACTCTTTCTGAAATCTCTTTCTGAAGAAGGGGATTTCTTCAGTTTCTCCTCCATGAAGATCCCCAGATGCCTCTCTGACCCTCCCATACAATCCCAAGCTTCTCCATATTCCAGTCCCTGGGAAGCTTCCAACATCATCCCTTGTGATTCTCCCTCTTTAGACATTTCCTGCTTGGGAGCCCATTTCTGGTCCTTAGCCTTGGTCTCAAAATCTAAAAGTATAAACAGACACTGTCAATGTTTTTTTGGCCCAAAATGCTGTCAGCCTTAGCTGTCATGTTAGCTGGCCTGGCTGAACTGGTTTTTCCTACAAAGGAAAGCTTACTTGGGCAGGCGACAGATACCAAAAAGGGCAACAGGGTGAGAAGGAAATTAAATGACCATCAACCCCAAGAATGTGATTCTCAGAGGATCTAGAAGTCAGGGAATGGCTACGAGAGGAAAGAGTGGTCTGCCAGGATGTCCACAATAGAGGATAAGACTGGGATGTAGGAATTCGAGGTACACAAGAGGAAATGGATAGAAAATGTCAGGGTTGGGAGGAGGGTTCACAGGGGTTATGGGGTTAGGCTAAGAGCTAAGGACACAAAGTCAAAAGGGAAGCAGTCCCTGCTCTCAAAAAGCTAACATTAAGGAAGGAGAGAGGGGCAAGAGACTCACACAGCTGGCAAGAAATAGCAGTTCCTGGTGCTGGGGAAGATCAAGGAACAGCATTCTATCCCTGCCTGAATCCCCCACAAACCTCATCAGTGGCCCCACAGAGGTACTCAACCTCCACTGCCTTCCTCCCTCACCCACCTGCACTCTTGTCTCTGGGTGGGTCCAGAGCCCCCAGCTTGTCCCCTTCTTCCAGACTGGTGATCACATCAGATTTGGAAACTGGAAATTAGGTTTAAAAGGAAGAGAACATAATGACTTGCTTTTGCTTTCTTCTCAACCACTTGATGGGACCGCAGCATTTCAGAGCTGTAAGCAGGAATATACCCATTGTACAAGTGAGGATGTTGGAGCTTGGGGGCGTCCGATAACTAGACTCAGAGCTGAGCCAGCATCCTGGAGGAAGTGAAGGACCAGGAAAGGGAGGCTAAGACAAAGGCAGCTGTGGGCAGGGTTCTCGCAGTGGAGAGGAACAGCAGGGATCAGAGCAGAATGGGGCTGTCTCCATCCCACAATGCTGCTGATGAACCCCATTGTGGGCTGAGCTGGTGAGACCGTGTCCAACATTCATGTGAGGGGCAAGGCCTACAGGGAGGGGGTGATAATCACCAGCTGGCCATCTGCCAACTGTCACCTTCTCCTTGGCTCCCAGACCAACCCCCTTCCTGCAAACACATCGACACCAATCATCCCAGACAGGGCAAGGTTATGGGAGCCCCTGCCTGTGTCCCTGCCAAGTCTCCCCAGTCCCTCCAGGGTCAGTGTTTTCCAGTAATGCGCAAAACCAAACATCACAGTCACGGCCCTGTAAGGCAGGTACAGCACTAAGCCCCGGCTCTCTGCTCAGTTTTGGGCGGCATTTTTCATCAGCCAGAGCCGGGAGCAGGAGTGAGGACTCTTTCACTCAGGGACTGTCCACACCTAGGCCTAGGCCTGCTGCGACTGACATAAGGCCTCGAGGGGCCCCTGGGAACTGAACTGAGGTCAGGGGACAGGGTTGAGCCTACTCTTAATGATTAATCACTGCACATGGAAACGGCATGGGACCCCCACTTTGGAAGACTCCTTTCCAGGCAGGAGACAATGTGCTTTAAAGGCAGCTTAGTACAATCATTTCTGTTGGCGAGTTAAGAAGTCAAAGATTTCTCTGACAGTCACTTTTTAACCTAATTAAGCACACTGCCTAACAAACAGCTCGTGGGTCTTGGGGGGTAAGTTTTATCAAAGGCCTCACCAGGTAATGGGAGCTTTTTCTGTCACTGGCCAAGCAGAGGCCCTGGCCCTTATGGGGGGGCCTCAAAGGAGTGAGGACTTGTTCTCACCTCCCTCTGCTGCCGCCAAAGGGCCAAGGGGAGGGATTCCTCCAACATCAGGAAGGGGAGGACAGGTTCCTGGCCAGGCCTCACACAGCACATGTATTCTTCCCAGCATCCCTTTCTTGCTCCAAGCGCCACCTTCACCATGGTCTTTCCTGACCCTTCCCCCCACTGCTGGTGTCCCCCGCTTCAGTCTCGATATGTACATAGGACCCCGGCAGGCGGCCTGAGGCCTCTGGAGTCCCAGCACCTGGCACACAGTAGGCCCTTCACCAATACTTCTGGGTTGGCCAATATTTGCCAGCTGATTTTCCCCTCTAACATTGCTCCTTAAACAAAAAAGGCCACCCAAATAAATGATGTAGTTACCACGCAGGGTGGACAGGGGCCACATCCCAAGGGAGGCACAAGCAACAAAACCCGGGCTTCTCGTGTCTGAGAACAAATGATCACACTTTAGGCATCCTCGTGACCAGAAGTCGTGGCTGGACACTGGCTCGAAAGGAGGGCTGAGAGAGGGGAGGGTTATGCATCGAGAGGAGACTGTCTAGGGGATGGTGATGAAGTGACCGCGTCATTGGAGAGAGGTGAGGACCCAGACATCCAGCCCCTTCCCTGCCCTCATTCTCCTCCCCTCCTGTCTTTCCCTCTCTTTCTCTTTCCCCTCCCCCTCTCCCCCCCAGCTTCTTTTCCCTCCTGCCCTCTCTCCCTCTTTCCCCTCTCCCCTCATGTCTCTCTCCTCTCTTTCTTTCCCCTCCCCCTCTCTTCCCTCATGTCTTTCCCCCTTTCTCTTTCCCCTCTCTCTCTCTCCTGTCCCCCGTCCCCCCCCCTCTCCCTCTCCTTCCCTTTCTCTTTCCCATCCCTCCCTCCTTCTCTCCCCCTCTTCCCTAACTCTATCTGTCAAAAACAGAGCAATAGTGACTTCTTAGTAGAAAAACCAACAAGGAGAAACCCTGTTCAGAGGAAGGGAGGACTTGGGTGCTGGGACAGAAATGAAGGCCCCTGGGAAGCCCCCTGGGCTTGGGAAAGCAGATTTCACAGGGATTTGAGAACAGATTGATGGGAATCCCACTGAGACAAGCGCACCAGGAGAAGTCGGCCCCAGAGGGAAGGAAGTAAATGGCAGAGAGCTCAGCACAGTGGGCAGGAATGGCCAAAGTGTGGCAAGAGGCCCCCAAGGAAGGTTGAGGGGCTGGGAGTCCAAGGAGGAAGGCAACAGTAACAGGAGGCAGAGGGAAGCACAGCCTTGACCCGACAGACATGGGTGACGGGCTGCCGGGGGCTGGTCCCGAGGAAGGCTCTCCGACAGCAGCAGGAGGAGGGGAGGGGGATCTCGGTAGCCTCTGGGTAGGCAGGTGGGCCTTGGTGACCCACACCTGCAGGTCCCTGCCCAGTATGGCTGGAGGATCCCAGGACGAGGCCTGCTCTTCAGCCCCTAGCCCCCAGCCCTGACCAACTGCCCCCAACAGGCCAGCCAAGAACCCTCAGGGTGGGGAACGGGGCCCTCGGGAAGCACTCTCAAAAGATGCTACCCACGGGGCCTTGTCCCCAAAGTCCCCGAGATCATTTTCTCAGTGGACGTGACCTGGAAGAAGAGGCAGGGCCGCCTCCCGGGCCCTCTGCCTCTGGTTGGCCAAGGCCTTCCACCCTCCCCGGCTCAGGGCCTTCAGAGAAGCTGGACAGCAGGTGCTGGGGAGCCAGGCCCTGCCCTTGACCAGCTTACAGTCTGGGCCCAAGACAGACAAGAGATACAAGGTAATGTGGTGGGGCAGGGGGCACGGGGTGGGCAAGGTGCCCGAGGCCTACAGGGGCGGCCCTGGGGATCTGCTCCACCCCTAACATGACAGTCAGGACCCTAAAGGATCAGGGGAGCCACCGAACTGGTCTGAATCGAATGAGATGAAATTGGAGAGGGCAGTATGAGTGAGGCCTGCGCCTCAAATGATGGGGCAGGGGTTTGAGTGGACCGCAGAGTCTGGAAGAGCTGGCTGCGGGACGGGTCAGCCCGGGAAGCTAACGGGCTTCCTGAAGAGACGGATGACGAGGCAAGAGTCCAGCTGTAGTTGGCATCGGCAGGACTGTCAGCCTGTCAGTCAATTCTCAGTTAATCAGCATTTATTAAGCACCTACTACGAGGCAGGGAGGAGGCGTCACAGTGCCTCCGGGCTGAGCCTGGAGTTGAGAAGACCCGAGTTCAAATCCAGCCTCAGCCACTTCCCGGCGATGTGACCCTGAGCAATTCCCTGTACTGTTCGCCTCACTTTCCTCAATCGTAAAGCACTTAGCACAGTGCCCGGCACGCAGTAGGTGCGCCTCAGGTTCAGTGGGAAGGAGCCCCCCTGGGCCCGGAGGGACCGCCGAGGGCAGGGAGTGACGCACGTACCTGGTGGGCATCCCACGAGACGGCCAAGCGGCCCGGGAAGCTCGGGACACGGCCCGGCCGAGGAGTCGCCGCCGACCCCGGCGTCCTCTGCCAGCACCTGCCCCCCACGTGCACCGGCAGGGACCTGGAGGCAAAGACAGCCAGGTGGGGCTGCCGAAGGGCGGCACCGACCCGGCCCCCCACCCCCTGGGCCCTCTGGGGTCCCGCCAGGCCTCTTGTCAGATGCAGCCGGAGCCCGGGAGCCCCCCTCCCCCCAGAACCAGCGGCCCGCACCTGGGGGCCCGAGAAGCCCAAACCTCCCTGCAGGCCCTCCACCAGGCTCACGGCCTCCTCGCCGGTCTCGGGACACCGCTCTCGCACCCGGGCCTGGATGTCGGCCGGCAGGACGCTCAGGAACTGCTCCAGCACCAGCAGCTCCAGCATCTGCTCCTTGGTGAGGCTCTGGGGGCGCAGCCAGGCCCGGCACAGGGCCCGGAGCCGGCCCAGGGCCTCCCGGGGCCCGGCCGCCTCCTGGTAGCGGAAGGCGCGGAAGCGCCGGCGGCACGTCTCGGCGCCAGTCCGTGCGGAGGGGCGGCCCCAGGCGACGGTCGGGAGGTCCGGCGGGGCCGTGGCCCCCGCCCCCGCTGCTGACATGGTCCTTCCTGGCGGGCGGCCTGGAGAAGGCCTGGACAGACGCGGAGAGGAGGGCAGGGTCAGGGGGGCGGGGGGCGGGGGGCAGGGGGGGGGGGGGGGGGGGGCGGGGGGGGGGGGGGGCGGGGCCCTGAGCCCCTACGACAGCCCAGGCTGGGGGAGCAGCTGGGAGAGACATGCAGAGACAGAGAGATAACGGAGGTGCGGAGGGATGACGGGGAGACACAGAGGCGGAGAGACAGAGACAGAGACAGAGACGGGCAGAGACAGAGACGGGCAGAGACAGAGACAAACCCCCTCCCGCCCTTTTCTCACCTCAGGTTTTCTCTCCGGAGCCGCCCGGAAGTCGTCCCTCCCTCGCCCCGCCTCCCGGCGACGTCACTTCCTCTCCGCCCCCAGCCCGGGCTGCTCCGGGCCGCGGGGAGGACTGAACGCCTCGGATCCCCCAGGCCTGCCGTGGAGGCTTCTGGGAAGAGGAGGCGCGCCTGGCGCTCCCCCCCCTCCCCCACCCCCACCGCGGCGGACCCGCCGAAGGGCGGGGGCGGGGGCGGGGGCGGGGCTGGCTGTCCGCGGCCTGCCTGCGTCAGTTTCCCCAGAGCCGTGGGACCCCGCCCCGGCCCTACGGGCGGCACTTGCTGTGCTGAGCGCTGGGCACACGCACGGCCCCCGCCCCCCGACGGCTTACAGTCTCGCGGAGCAGACGCGCCCCGCCTTCGGGGCTGGCGGCCGCCGGCGCGTTCCCATCCCCGCCGTCCCGACGCGCGGCCGGGCGCGGGCTTGCTCTGTTCTCCCTGCCCAGTTCGGACCATGGGAGGGGGTCCCCGGGACGCCTGCTCCCGCCCCACCCCGCAGGACCGATTTCCTCCCTCCTTCCCTGGCCGGCTCCCGTCATTCCATGCTGAAGAGGGCACGCCTGTGGGGGATCCGAACGTGCCGCTGTCACCCCACCACCCCCTGCCCCACGGGGGGCACGATGGCGCGGGTGGAGCCCCGCCAGCTCTCCTGATGGAGATCGCCTCCGTGTCAGATCCTGGGAAGTCTCGCCTGCCTTCCCCACGGAGACGTCCCGGCCTGTATTGATCCAGCCCATACCCCAAAGGGAAGCTTCCCTGCAACACAGCCAACAAGGGGTCACCCAGCCAGCCTCTGCAGAAAGATCTTCAATGAAGGGGCGTTTCCATCTGTGAAATGGGGGAAAGATTGTCTCAGATGTCCTGTCTGCCACCTCCTGAGGAGACCCGTTCCACTCTGGGAAAACGTCCCAGTGTTCCAGAACTTCTGCCCTCCAGGCTGGATTTTCCTCTGGCTGATCCCCCCCCCCCGCCCTTTTTAGTTCTACCCTAAGGATCCGAGCGGAACAGTTGGATCCCTCCTTTCTAAGCAGTTCTCCAGCTGAGTCAATAGACTAGCCTTTCTAGCCTTGATCAATGGACGTCCAGAGACTGTGGGCATTTTGTGGCTCCTTTGAACAGAACTTCCTTTTGTCTTGTTTCCTTCTGGATTTCGTTATCACTCAGCGGAAATGCTATGGATTTCTGTAGGGTTATTGTGTCGCCCACTACTTTTCTTTATTATTAATTCATTTTCAGTTTTCAACACTCACTTCCATACGCTTTTGAGTTTTAAATTTTTCTCCCTCTCCCTCCCTGCCTCCTTCCCCACAACAGGCGCACAATCTGATATAGGCTGTACACATACATTCCTCTTAAACATATTTTCACATTAGTGATGTTGTAAGGAAGAATTAGAACCAATAGGAGGAACCACAAGAAAGAAGAAACAAAATAAAACAGAAGAAAAACAATAGCAAATAGTAGGCTTCGATCTGCATTCAAACTCCATAGTTCTTTCTCTGGATGTGGATAGCATTTTCCATCACGAGACCTTTGGAGATGTCTTAGCTCCTTGCATTGCTGAGAAGGGCTAAGTCTTATCATCGCACAACGTGTCTGATACTGTGTACAATGTTCTGCTTTTGCTTACTTCACTCATCATCAGTCCATATAAGTCTTTCCGGGTTTTTCTGAAGTCTGCCTGCTTATCATTTCTTATTAGCACCATAGTATTCCATTACATTCATACACCACAACTTGTTCGGCTATTCCCCAATTGATGGGCATCCCCTCAAGCCCACTACTTTTCTAAAGCTATTGTTGGGATTTGTTTCTTACTCATTCTCCAGGGTTTCCTAAATAAATTATCTTGCCATCAGCAAATAGGGACAATGTGTCCTTTTCTTCCTTTGTTCATGCTTTTGATTCATTTATATTGCTTGATGAGCATTTGTAGAATGATGTCAAATAATGGTGGGGCAAGGAGAGAGCCTTGTTTTATTCCTATGGTTATCAGGAAAACTGCTAATGTTTCCCCATTACCAATAATGCTAATTTTTGGACTTAAAAATAAACTTTTCAACAATGTATTCCCTATGCCTGTGATTTATAGGATTTGGGGCAGAAATGAGTACTGTGCTTTGTCAAAGGGTTTTTTTTTTGTTTTGTTTTGTTTTGTTTTACCCCTGCATCTACTGATATAATCACCTGGTTTGGGTTATTTTTTTAAATACTGTGTTTTCCTAATATTGAAACATCCTTGCAATTATCAAATCTGTGAAATGGGGGAGGCTTTAACAGCTATGTTCCATGCCCACACCTTCTCCTGCTTCAGTCTCTCGGCAGGCAGGTGCTGGGTGGCCATGCTCCACAGAACCTCCCCTCCTTGAGCTTCCATTGGGCAGCATTGCTGATCTCAGCACCATGGCCAGTGCCTGCCTCATCCCTACTCCTTAACAAGCTCTTTTCCAGTCTCTAGATGCTAACCTGTACTAGGCAAAGATGAAGTCCCTGCCTTCAAGGAGCTTACCTGAAACATCATCACAAGCATAGAGGGAGGAAGAAAAATAGAACGGAAGGACAATGGAGAAAGGAGAGAGACCACAAGCAACTGGGAAATAACAAGAGAGCTTCCCAGAGGAAGCAGCCAGCAAATGGAGCCTCGAAGTCAGCTTAAGATTCCAATAGGCAAAGATGCAGAGAGAAGGTGCTCCAGGCAGGACACTGGGCAAAGACACCGAGGCTGGAGCTGGAGTGGTGGGTTTGGCTGGAGCTTTGAGTGCATGAAGGTGATATGACATTAGTTTGGAAAAGTGATTGGAAACCAGATCACATACAGAGGGCTGAAGAGCAAATCTCCCTTTGATCCCAGAGGCAGAGGGGAGCCATTGAAGGTGGCTTTTGGACATGCAGAGCTGGACATGGTCTGATTTGTACCTTAGAAAGACTATTTTAGGGGCAGCTAGGTGGTGCAGTGAGTAAAGCATTGGCCCTGAAGTCAGGAGGACCCGAATCCAAATCTGGCCTCACACCAAATACTTGACACTTACTAGCTGTGTGATCCTGGGCAAGTCACTTAACCCCAATTGCCTCAAAAAATAAATAAAATAAAAGAAAGACTATTTTGGTGGCTGTGGGGGTGGGGGGCTGGAAGCAGAGGGACCAAACAGGAGGCTGTGCTTCAGTGCAGGGGAGAAATGATGAGGCCCTAAGGCCCAAGGCCCCAAAGCTCATCTTCTGGCAGTGGAGAAAAGGCAACAGAAATGAGAGATGAGGAGGTTGAGTGGACAAGACTGAGGGTCCATCATAATGATACCTACAGGGGAAGGTGAAGAATGGTTCAGAGGCCATGTTCCTGAGCAAGCCTGCAGAAGATAAGCAGCCTCACTTGCTGGCTTGGAAAGAAGGCCCAAGCCTCCATTGTGAGGCAGGCTCCTGAACAACCTTGAACAGCCGTGCCTCTCCCAGCCCCCTGGCTCCCCTCGGGTTGCATGGTGTAAGATGCAGGGGCAGCATTTTTCATCCCTGTGGTGACAGAGACTGGCAGCACTGTCTGATCTTGGGGGGGGCCTGAGGCATTCCTCAGTGCAGGGTTGGTTTGCTGTTGGCAGTGACCATTGTAGGGGGAGCTGGAATGGACCCTGTAGTCCATTTTGATCTCCACTCAGTGCTATGGATCTAGGAATCTATGATCAAACTCTTATCAGATATTGACAAACCTACCATCAATTTACCACCTATCTATGCATCTCTCCCTCCCCCTTCCTCTCTCTCTGTCTCTCTTTCCCTCTCCCTCCCCGCTTCTGTCTGTTTCTCTCTCTCTATGTCTCTGTTTCTCTCTCTCTCCCCTTCTCTACCCACCTAAGTTTCTGGTGAAAGTTACCTCCCTCCAACCCCTCCTCAGCCTATCAGGTTGCTGTTACCTGAGTGAAGAACAGAAAAGAGTCCATTAAACTCCACTTAATTCGATTCAGAAAGCATTGATTGAGTGGGTGCCCAGACTTCTGTCTCCTACCTTGGTGAGCCTGCAATGCCTAAGGGACGTCCAGGTGGAGGCTCTCTGGGAGCAGGAGCTCAGGAGAGAGATAAGGGCTGGATGGGATAGGCTTGGGAAGGAGAGATTATGGGGATGGAGGGGTCAGATGAACCTTTCCTAGGGATTGGGGAGACCTGGGCATGTTTGCAGGCATGGGGGGGGGGGTGCAGTAGATGAGAGAGAATGACAGAAGGGACAAGTTATGGGATGGGGTAGGCCTGATAAGGAAGGGCCAGCTCTTCATTTAAGATTGGGATAAAAGGGAGATGGGGGAGGTGTCTAGTCAGGGAGCAGAGGAAGCCCTTCACAGATGGCCTCCATCATCTCTGTACAAAGGCACAGACTTCTCTCCTTCTGTAGGAAAGGTTGGGGATTCAGATGCATGCTTATAAGACAGGCTTACTTTTACTTGCCTACTTTTCTTTATTACAGGGGAAGGCTCAAGTTTGGGGGGGAGGCAGACCACAGACCCCTGGGGTCCTGAGAGGAAGGGAGCAGCTCCTGGGAGAGACTGACCAGGGAAGACATTCCTGGGCTCACAACCATAAAAGAAATGGTTTCTGTTTCCTGACAAGAGGGCTCTCTGCCTCTCTGCTCACCAGCCACCAGCTCCTCTTTCCCTCAGGAGGTGTCATACAACATCCCTGACTCAGTACCCCCCATCTATGGGACACCACAGGGGTTATGGCTCGGTCTGCACCTCAAGTGCTTACACCTGGTGTGACCTAGCTGGGACACTGCTGGGACTCAGTTTCCTCCTCTGTCTCTAACATTCTACACCCTTATTCCTCACGCCCTTTGTTTTTCCTGAAAGTAAGTATAACTAGATGGGCAACTCCTCCAATGGAGGAAAAAAAACCCCACATCTTCTCTAGCTGAGAAATTCCTGGCTCCTGGATGTTCTTTGAGGGTGGACTGCCCACCCTCATTACACTCCCTGGGCTTCTTTCCCTGGAGAATTCTCTGATGTCTTACAAGGCCTGAAGGTGTTCCCACACTGCTAACAGTCCTCGGTTTCTCCCCAGTGTAAATCCTCTGATGTTTTATAAGGTGTGAGCCTCTTGTGAAGCCCCTTCTACAGTCATTGCATTCAAAGGATGTCTCCCCTATGAGAATTTTCTGATGCTGGGTAAGGGCTAAGCTCACCTGAAGATACAGTTATAGTTACAAATACACACACACACACACACACACACACACACACACACACACACACACCCCCACTCCCTTCAATAGACTCTTCTACAGAAACTATTGAAACTGTTGCATCTCTTTGAGAGGCTTTCGGAAACTCAGACAGAAGCAGTTCACATGCCATTCCCTAAGGAGTTCATAAGATTATGAGGCTTCATTTTGATCTGTGAAGAGATGAATTTCTTGTCACATCTGGATACTGAGAAAACAGAAAGAATTTATTCTTAGAGTCACTTAATCCTGTCTGCCTCAGCTTCCTCATCTGTAAAATGAGCTGGAAAAAGAAATGGCAAACCACTCCAGTATCCTTGCCAAGAAAACCCCAAATGGGGTCACAAAGAGTTGGACAGGATTGAAATGTGAACAACAGGAGACCAGAAGTCTGGATATACACACACGCCCAGGAGGTAGTGAGCTCCCTCTATGGTGGTGTTCCATCTGGAGGGTAGATGACGATGTGTTCCCCTCAGGTAGAAAGAGGGTTCGTGAGCAGGGATAGATTGGCCTAGGTGTCTGAGGTCCCTCCTACTTCTGGCAAGGCATGCAAGTATATCATGGCTGGTATCAAATGCCTGGAAGAGGTCAAAGAAGAGGAGGGCTGGACAAAGCTCTGGTGACAGGGAGGGAGGGTATTGGCTACCTTGGAGAGAGGCCAGGACTGAAGTCTGACAGCAGGAGAGTGCAGGGAGTGGTGCAGCGAGAAGGCAGGGATGATAGAGGAGGGCTGGAAGCAAAGGGCACCTGCAGGACAGCTACCAAGATGCTTCGGTCCAGGGGCCATGGGCTCGAAGGTGTCTGTTGACTTAGAGAAAGACTGAGAAAGAGGAAGATGGAAGATGTGTGGGAGAAATGGAAGCAAGATTATAGAGGAGATGGGAGGGACATGGAGGTCTCAGAGGAGCCCAGGAGGAGACCTTCTGCTAAGAGTGGGGGCTGGAGGAGAGGGCAGATGGGACAGCTCGATACTTCCAGGAAGAAGCCTGAACCTGGATTCAAATCCTGGCTCTAAACTCACTGAATCACCTGTAGGTAAGTCTTTTCCTGGCCCCTAGACATCTTAAACTGAACTCATTGTCTTTCCTCAAAACCCTCCCCTCTTTCATAGGCTGGATTTGAACTCAGGGGGTCCTGCCTTTGATTTGGGACTCTGGACAGGCTATTCCCTTCCCTCTTGGTGCCCCAGACAACCAAGGCTGCACATGGCCCCAGCCCCCAAATACAGACTGAAGGGCAGACCAGATGTGAAGGCATCTATACCAAGGCCTCAGGACCTAGGGCCAAGTCTGGCCACTGGCCCATGGTCTGCAGAGAGCTCACCAGAGGCTAAGTCAGGACTCACATCAGTGCAGCGTTTGGGGCCCACATCCCAATGCTCCCCTGCACCTTATGACATCCCACCACCCAGGATTTCCGTCAATTCCTCTCAGGGCATCATCTTCCCCAGCAGGACTGGCCCCAAAATTCTGCACTGGTGCTCCCTGAAGGAACGGCCCCCTGCAGTAAGCCTGGGGTGTCCCTCAGGGAAGGGTGCTTTGTAGGCAGCTCTGGGGGCCCCCAAAGAAACGCTCCATGTGGCTCTATGGCCGCACCTGCCGCCTGCCCCAAACAGATCCTCACCATCTACTAGCTGCCCCAGCTCCTTCACCTAAAAGTCAAATCTCTGCTGCAAAGGGTGAAGACTGGCCACAGTCACTGAGGGCTCTAAATGACCACTTGTCCGGCCTGTCCCCCCCAGCTCTGACACTGTGGGATGTTAGCAAGGGAAGGCCCAGTGGACCCTAGGAGGCAGAGTCCAGAGGGCTTCCCTTCCCCTTTCCCTTTCCTGACAATCGGAGGGAGCAGCCCCAAACAGAATACAATTCAACAAACCATATTAGGCACCTACTCTGCCAGGCAGGCATACAGCAGTGCCTAATAAGTCCTTGTTGACTGACTGACTACTACGTACAAGGCCTGGGGATGACACAGAGAAGCGAGACCCAAAGGAAGGCCCCCTGCCCTCAAAGGGCATCCATTCTACTAGGGGAAGAGTACATAGACACAGCTCCACCAACGCTCAGTCATCTACAGGGGAGACTCAGGCTGGACACGGGGTCAGCCAGCCGCCAGCCTACGGAGCCAGGGAAGGCAGGCCTGGGCACCCCCGGAGCCTCAGGGCAGAACAGGGGAGATGCCCCCCCCCATCCTCAGGGACTTCCTGGGACCCCGGGATCCTCTTGGTACGTCTGCAGGCTTCCAGGACCCCTGAAGCACCCGGGCCCTGCTGGGCTGGCCTGCAAGCCTCCTCTCAGAAACGAATCACAAAACAAATGTCCCAGGGGCGGCTAGGTGGTGCAGTGGATACAGCACTGGCCCTGAAGTCAGGAGGACCTGAGTTCAAATCCGACCTCAGACCAAACACTTGACACTTACTAGCTGTGTGACCCATGCCAAGTCACTTAACCCCAATTGCCTAAAAGAAATACAACTACAACAACAACAAAACGTTCCAGAAGGGCTTTATAAACCCTAAGCCTCTGTGGTCACATTCCATGCTATGGGCTTAATTATTCCCCATTATGTAGAAGAGGAAACCAAGGCTCAGAAACATCAGGAGACTCAGAGTCCTCAAACCTCTCGGTAGCCTTGGTTAAGGTCTGAATGGGAGGCCTCCTCTATGATCCAGGAGGGTCCGTGGGTAAGTGGGGTGGGGGCACAGAGCCGTGCAGGAGAGGCAGAAGGGGAGGGCAAGCAGACCTGGAGAGACACCAATTACCCCCATGCTGGCCGGCCCTGGGTACTGCTGCCCCTGCTGCTCAGCTGCGGTGAGTTCAAGCCTCGCTTCTGAGGAGCTCTCTCCGCTGAAGGCACCACCTGCCCACTGGACAGTGGCATGGCAAACCCAACGTGTCCTAGCCTGAATTCTGCTGTTTACCAAATCTAAGCTGCCCCGCTGAAGGACAAGCCCCTGCCTCCACCTGCTCATCCTTCGTGCTTCTCACTCCCAACACTGATCGTTCTGGAGCACCACTCCTCTGAAGGGAGTGAGGCCGGCCCATCTCCTGCCTCCAGCCCTTTGCCTGGAAAGCACTCCCTCTCTTCACCTGCACTCCTGGGAATTCCTGACCTCCTGGGTGCCATCTCCTCCACGAGGCCTTGGCTGATTCCTCCAGCTGCTGGTGCTCTCTGCTCCCCCCCCACCGTAGCTTCCTCATCTGCCTCTGGCAAAGTCAAACACCTTCCCCCCTTCTTAAGCTAACTGCATTTCCTTACGATGGTGTGGACTGCATTGCCGTCCCCAGGAGAGTGTGAGCAGATCCAGCACTGGTGAGCACAGGGCTTGATACGGGACAGGCACACAGGGAGAACAAAAATGGGCAGCCCCCAACTGGAGGATACAGACTGGCAAGAGAAGAGGCCATGAAGAAAAGGGAAACCAAGGGAAGAAGGGGGCCCTTGAGGCAGGGAGGGGTCCACTGAGGGAGGGAGGGGTCCACTGAGGCAGGGAGGGACCACTGAGGCACAGAGGGGGTCACTGAGGGAGGGAGGAACCACTGAAGCAGGAAGGGACCACTGAGGCAGGGATGGGGACATGGAGGGAGGGGGTTCACTCAAGGAGGGAGGGGGTCCACCGAGGCAGGGAGGGACCATTGAGGCATGGAGGGGGTCACTGAGGCAGGGAGGGGGTCACTGAGGCAGGGATAGGGTCACTGAGGCAGGGAGGGGTCCACTGAGGCAGGGAGGGGTCCACTGAGGCAGGGAGGGACCATTGAGGCAGGAAGGGTCCACTATGGCAGAGAGGGGGTCACTGAGGCAGGGAGGGGTTCACTGAGGCAGGGACGGACCATTGAGGCAGGGAAGGGTCCACTATGGCAGAGAGGGGGTCACTGAGGCAGGGAGGGGGTCACTGAGGGAGGGAGGGGTCACTGAGGCAGGGAGGGGTCCACTGAGGCAGAGAGGCGGTCACTGAGGCAGGGAGGGAGTCACTGAGGGAGGAGCACAAAGCCAGGCAAATGGAATAGCTTGCGGGCAGCTGCAGGAGCGGAGCAGGGCCCCGGCAGTCCAGGGAGTAGAGCCCAATGAGGTGGTGTCATCAAAAACATTGGCTCCTGCAGAAGACGGATCCTAGGGCGCTCTTGTGGACGCCATCTTTGTCTCCCAGCATACATGGGCCAGGGCCTGGGGGTGAGGGCAGGGCTCTGAAGGGGTTCTGGGGAGGGGGGAAGGGCACCCTGGCAACCCTTCTCCATAGACACAGGGGACAGAGCCTTCTGCAAGCTTGGAGGTGATGCCACGTTGCAGAACCCTCTTCCCACCTTCTGTGCCCCGGTACCTTTGTCTCTTTAAGACGGGCACAGAAATTGCTGCCTGACTACCCTCTGGGCACGGGGTCAGGCAGCAAGGCCTTACTTAGGGTACCACGGTGATGGGGGCTCCGAGTCACAGAGAGCCTCCCAGGGAAGGGAGGAGGACGTGGCGGCTGACCCGGAACGAGAGTGGCAAACGTTCATCAATGGCCCGGGAGGCGAAGGAGCCCACTTCATCACAGCTGGCCATATTTGCTGGGAAGTTTGGCACACAGTTCCCGCACTCCCAGGGCTCACGCACCTCCCAATATCTCAGCTAATGGGGATGAGTGCCCCTATGGCTGGCAAAGCACTTTACAAAGAGGATCCTGACAACCCTGGTAGGGAGACTCCCATTTTACAGGAGAGGAGACTGAGGCATAGAAAGCTTCCCGGACTTGCCCAGGACCTGAAGCCAGACCTCGCCCTAATTTGGCAGTCCACTACCACACCAGGCTGCCATGTCCAGTACTAGAAAAGGGGGGTACCAAAGGGAAGCCTCCAAACCCAGGACCCCCACCCTCCTTCCTTCTCCCAGGGAGTCCTGCAAGGGACCTTTGTGACCTGGACCAGCTGTTCTTTGCTCAGTCTTTCCTGGTCCTGACAGATCAAGGCAGAGGTCAACTGCCTGCCGTGCCAGTCTCTACGGGTTGGGTGGGACAACAGGGAGCCATAGCAGCTTCTGGGGTAGGGAAGTACACCCAAAGGCCCCCCAGCAGGGAGGGATATTCCTTGGCGAGGAGGGGGAAGGAGAAGGGGGATGGGAGAGGGGCAGGAAGGAAGGAGGGAGGGGAAGGGCATGGGGAGGGGAAGGGCATGGGAAGGAGAAGGAAGAGGAGGAGGAAGAATGAAGGAGGGGAGGGGGCAGGAAGGAGGAAGGGGAGGGTATGGGGAAGAGAAGGAAGAGGAGGAGAGGGAAGGAGAGGGGGGATAGGGATGGGGAGAGCAGTAAGGGAAGAGAGAGGAGAAAAGAGGAGGAGGAAGAGGGGGATGGGGGCCGGGGTGGCGAGAAAGACTAGAGTCAGGCAGGTGAGGACATCTGGCTCCACCCCCCCACCCCGCCCCCATGACGTCACTGTGTCGGGGTCAAGTTACAATGTGTCACCTGTGGCTGATCAGACCTTGAGCTGAGAACGAAGGAGTTCGGGTGCTGGGGATCAGTTCACTGACCTTGGCATGGTACTCTCCAGGGATGCACACATTGATGAGGAAGGTGACCCACGCATTGCCAGAGCTAGCTGAGTGTGTGGGAGGCTCTGGAGGAAAGTGTGGGAGAGGAGAGGTATTAGACTAGGTCTACAGAGCCGTTGTGCTGACCTCACTGCTGCATGCCTGTGAAACCTGCAGAGCCTACCAGCGCCATGCCAGGACCCGGAATCGCTTCCGTTTGTGTCCTAGGAAAGGGGCAGCTAGGTGGCGCAGTGGAGAGAGCACATGCCCTGAAGTCAGGAGGACCTGAGTTCAAATCCAGCCTCAGACCAAACACGTGACACTTGGTAGCTGTGTGACCCTGGGCAAGTCACTTAACCCCAATTGCCTAAAAATTAAAAAAAAAAAAAAATGAATTGTCCTAGGAAGAGTCTAAAGATCACCTGGTGGGATAAGAGCAGACACTGAGGTCCTTTCTCACTAAACTGCCAAGTGGTTAGACTCTACACCCCTAGTGATGAATGAATGAATGAGGAAGGAGAACAAACATTTAGTAAGCTCCTGCTGTATGCCAAACACTCTGCATCTTCACCACGACTCTCAGACAGATTTGAACTCAGGTCTTCTTGACTCCAGCCAGGCACTCTGTGCTGCTTCAGCTAAAATGGAGAAAGGAAAAGATGCATAAAGGAATGAATAAAGTCAGGAACAAAGGAGACCTTGGAGCTGTACATGCAGTATGGCTGCGGCTGCAGCAACCCCCGCACCCCAGGGGTGTCATGGTGCTGATGCAGGCCCTCCCTCCCCAGACAGTTGGAGTGTGGAGGCCTGAGGTGTCATGGTGACCCTCAGTTTCCCCATCTGGAACATGAGAGGCCAGCACATGGTGACTTCCCTAATCTTTCTTGGGATGCTCTGAGATCTTGGCTCTTGAGACTGGCTCTTCGCCGACCTGGGAAGCCCATCAGGAAGGGTGTCTCGCATTCATGTGTCTCAGACTTCAGGACCCAGGGGTCCCCACCTCCGTCATGCTTCCCCATGACTGCCCTCTGTACCCCGCTTCTTGGTACATCAACCCCCAATCTCCTTTCTGGCCAGGCCTGGAGGAGGGTCCAGAAGCCCAGGTGCCATTCTGACTTCGGGACCCAAGGTCCCTTCCCCACCCATCATCGCCCCATCTGACCCCTCCTTGGTGCATCAGTTCACCACCACCCCCAGCCAGAGTCAAGGTAAAGCCATCCCTCCCCACCCTGGTGAGGAGTGTTCCATCCCAGGCCTGGGAGAAGGTGGTCCAGAAGCCCAGGTGCCATTCGCAGACTTCAGGACCCAGGGTCCCCTCCCGCCCCATCTGGTGCATCAGCCCCCCTCATCTGGCCAGACCGACAGCAGAGCCGACCCTCCCCACCCTGGTGAGGGATGCTCCATCCCTGGCCTGGGAGAGACCAGGTCCAGAAGCCCAGGTACCATGCCAAGACAACACCTTCTGAGACCACATGGGTTCTTTCCTTCTCCATCCCTGACTTTCAATAGGTAGCAGGGAAGAAAACCCAGCCTGCGTGTTTGTGGTCTCGAGTCTCTCCCGTAAGGCTTTGTCCTCTTTGGCAATCTGTAGTGGTTCTGAGCATTCTTTCATCTGGCCAGCTGGCTGCTGGTGCCCTTGTCTCCAGCCCACTCTGTGCGTGTGGGGCACAGCTCTTCTGGGCCTTGGGCATGGAAGGTGACTTCAAGGCTTCTTCCAGCTCCCTCAGGTGCTTCAGTCCCAGGCACAGCCTGGGGGGGAATGGGGGAGAGGGGCAGGTAACAGTCCCCTGACTCTCACTACGGTGACCAGAACTTCAGCCTGTCGTCCACCTACGTCCCCTGGGCACGGGGCCCCAAACGGCCCTCCCTGTCTCGATGTCCCTTCCTCACCAGTGGGAGTTAGCGCCCCCCGGGTGGGCCACTATTGGTCTGTTTTCCAGCCTCCTCTCAGAGACCTATAGAGGAAGGTGGGCAGCAGGCCCTAAAGTCAGAGGGTTCCAGGTCACCCCGAGGTGGGTGGAGGCCCGTCTGTCCCTTCTGTAACCCTGGTTTTCTCTCTCAGTCTCCTGAACAGTCCCGGAATGGGGCAGAGATAATTATCCCCATCCTCAGGTGGGGAACCTGGGATCCAAAGACGGAAAAAGCGGACCCCAGCGGTCCTGACCCCCAACCTGTCCCGTCGTCAGCTTGGCCCTCCCCATATGAAGCCTGGCCACTTTCCCTCATCTTACCCCTGCAGTGGGACTGCGATCCCAGCTTCCTCGCAGAGATAACCTGTCCCTCCTCCCATGAACAGTGCCGGGACTCAATCTAAGCTCTCCTGGCCCAGCCAGAATGACTCCTAACCCTGCCTGCCCAGAAGGCCTGGGCTGAGAAAGTAGGAGGTGCTGGCCTCCTGAGGGCAGTGGCCTCTCTGTCTGGCCCACTTCACCTCATCACTGTGAGGATCCCCCTCCCCATTCTCAGGGTTAAGTACCAGAAAAGGTTTTGTTTTTTTGGAAAACCAAGCAAACTTTACTCAATATTCTTTTTCCCTGGGCAGTAGTGGGAAGGGACCGTGGAGCCGTATGAAAACACACACGCACCTGCCTACACACCTATGCTCTGGCCTGGGTTTGAGGCAGAAGAATGGGCAGGGCTGTGCATGGTCAGGGCCTGAAGTGGCCGGTCCATCAGCCACATCCCTCACTGACCAGAAAGCCCAGGGAACATGGGCCGGGCACAGGCTCCACAAGCTTATGATGCCCCTCTGGGATAGATGCCTGTGTGGCCCACTACCACGGAGCGTCCCAGAATCTCCCAGGCCAAGGCCTGTGTGCCCAGTTCCAGGCCTCATGCTGTCAGTGGGCAGGGAGGACTCCTTCTGTCCTGGGCAGCTTCTCTCCCTGCTTCCCGTCGACGTTTGAGGTGAAATTAGAAGGAAGCTAGGTGTTCTCAGGTACAAAGGTGGGGAGGTTTGGGGGCCAGCCTGCACCAAGGCCCCAAGCACAGCATCTGGGGGAATGAGAAAGCCAGTGTGGCCACCTCGCAGTGGGGTTGTCCTGCTTGGCTGTACAGGGCAGAGCCAGGAGCAAGGGGGCAGGGTGGATGTGAACTGCAGAAAGGTTAATTGCCAGATCAGTGGGCTCCCCTTTCTCAGGGGGCTTCCTGCAGAAACTGGCCCACCATTTGTGCGCTGGGCATGTAACATCACAGGGAGCATTCCCAAAGACCCTCCTGAGGTCTGGCATTAGTCTGGAACCTCCTCGTGATCACGGTCACTTCTGGAGTCTGACGGAACTAGTTACAAAGGAGGATCAATCAGATTCTTTCATTGATGTGACTTCCTAAATTTTGTGGACGTTGCTCAATACCTCAATGATTTCTTCATGAACCAAGAGCCACAGCCAGGAAGGAAGGAAGAGATATGCACTGAGCTTATTCGCAGCTAGGTGGCACAGCGGATAGAACATTTCTTAGGCATAGAGTGCAGTAGACCTGGGTTCAGATTCTGCCTCAGATACTTACCAGCTGTGTAATCCCGGGAAAGACATTTAACCACTGTCTACCTCAGTTTCCTTATCTGTAAAATGGGGAGAATGATAGTATTAACCTCCTGTGGTTTTAATAAGAATAAATAAAAGGGGAGGATAACATATACATACACATATCTATGCACACACATATGTGCTTTGCAAACCTTCAAGTACTACGCAATTGCTAGTACTTTGTGTACTTTGCAGAGGCGTGGAGCTGAGCCACAGGGCCTTTGGAGTGCCCTTCGGCCAGTAGAGGAAAGGTCTCTGTGAGCTGGGGTGGGGGGGCCAGGGCAGAGGCCTGCAAACCGTGTGTCAGCTGGGGCAGGGGGAGGGATTGCCAGTACTACTGAGGGCAGCTATCAGCAACTAAGGGATTTACCAGGTTTCCTGTTTCTTATAGAAAAGTTCCCCCAAAACCCACCAGAAAAGGGAGCTGAGGGTTTGGCAGGTAATCTGAAGGACTGACTAGCTGGGATGGCAAGCACAGGCCTTGAAGTCTCATCTGAATTCTCTGCACTTGGGATGCAAAAATCTTCCATCTTTTGGCTCAGGAACTAAAGGGCACAAAAAGGACTCCATGATGATGACTGTGAGTGTGGCCACAGTTCTGCCCAGAGGGAGATGGCTTTCCAGCAGTTGAGGCCACAAGTCATCACTACACAAGGCACACCGAGAAGCAGGCTGGCCAGCAGTAGGCAGTGACCTCCTGGGGGCTGCCTTTTGGTGCTAAGTCACCTGCTAAAAGACCATGATGGGTTTGGAGAAAGGGCAAAGCCCTGGGCGGGGTCCTAACAAACCCTGGTGAGCCATTCACCACAATACTGCCTTTACCTTAAAGAGACCCGAATAACTCGCATGTCCTTGCGTGTGGTATTAAGAGGCTTCCACAAACCAGAGATCCTGGCAATCAGTCAGTCAATACGCATTTATTAAGCACTGGAGTGTACTGAGTACAAGAGTGACACGGTCACACTGGAAGTTTAGGAAGATCACTTTGGTGGCTGAGGGAAGGAGGCACTGAAGTGCGTAGGGATTTAAAGCAGAGACACCTTCCACACCCAGTCCACAGCCAAGAGTTGTCAATTTTACCATCATAGCCTCAATCAATCAATAAACATTCATAAGCATCTACTATGTACCAGGCACCTTGCTAGGTGCTGGGGACACAAAGAAAGGTAAAAGACAGGCCCTTTCTTCAAGGAGCTCACAGTGTCACGGCGGAGACACATCAACAAATATGTACAAACAAGCTCTACACAGCATAGCTAGGAGATAATGGCCAAGAGGAAGGCACTGGAATTAGGGAGGGTTTGGGAAAGCTCAGTGTACCAGTGGGCTTCTGTGGGGCCTGGAAGCAAGTCAGGGAGCGCAGCAGTTGGAGCAGAGGAAGGTGAGCATTCCCTCGGGGTCTGAGGGAGAGCCAGGAAAAATGCCCAGGGCCCAGAGGTCTAGTTTATGGAGCAGCTGGAGGCCACTGTCACTGGATGGAAGAGTGCATGTTGGGTAAGGCGTAAGCAGACTGGAAAGGTTATGAAGGGCTCTAAATGCCAAACAGCATTTTGTATTTGATCTGGAGGTGCTAGTGAGTCACTGGAGTTCATGGAGAGCGCAGGATTTAGCCCGGTGCTTTAGGAAAATCACTTTGGTGGCTGGACAAAGGATGGACTGGAGTGGGGAGAGCCTTGGACCTCCTTCCCTAGCAGGTATTGCAACAGTCTAGGGCCTGCACCAGGGTGGGGACAATGTCACAGAAGGAGGCCTATTAGAGGTGCTGCACAGGTGAAATCACCAGGCCTTGGCCCCTTATCGGATGGGGGGGTGAGAGGGGGAGCCTGGGGGACGGCAGGAGCTTGTTGCTCTTTAGAGTAATAGGGTTGGTAGAAGGGGGAGCGTTTGGGGGGGGTGAGAATGAATTGTTTCTCCAATAATATCACCCTAATATGCCCCTTTTCTCCTCTGACCCTGCTCCCACCCTAGGGCAGACCCTCATCACCTCACAACTGGACTACTGCCATAGCTACTGGGAGGAGGGGGGAGGGAGGGGCTGCCTGTCTCTAGTCTCTCCCCACTCCAGTCCATCTGTTCTTCAGTCACCAAAGTGATTTTCCTAAAGCACAGGGCTGGCCATGGCACCCCCTACCCAATAAACTCCAGTGGTTCCCTGCATTTATATAGTGCCTTAAAGTCTGCAAAGAGCTTTATAAATATTATTTCATGTGATCCTCACAATAATCTTGGGAGGGAGGGAGGAAGGGAGGAAGGAGGAAAGGAGGAAGGAAGGAAGGAGGAAAGGAGGAAGAAAGGAAGGAATGGAGGGAGGGAGGGAGGGAAAGAAGGAGGAAGGAAGGAGGAAAAAAGGAAGGAATGGAGGGAGGCAGGGAGAGAAGGAGGAAGGGAAGGAGGGAGGGAAGAAGGAAGGAAGGAAGGAGGAAGAAAGGAAGGAAGGAATAGGGGGAGGGAGGGAGGAAGGAAGCACCATGCTAAGCACTTTTCTTGATCCTCACAACCCTGGGAGGTGATGCTATGATTCTCTATTTTACAGTTGAGGAAACCGAGATACATACAGATTAGGCGACTTGCCCAGGATTACAGAGCTAGGATGTGTCCAGGCTGCATTTCAAGTCCGCTCCCCGTGACTCTAGGTCAGGATCAAACAGAAACAGATCAGTGTGTTATGCAAAACCTTCCCTAAGGTGTGGGATCCGGCCAGTCTTCCTACTCCTCCCACGTACTCTGCATAGACTGGCCTCTTGGCTGTCCCCCCACCAAGACCATCCATTTCCAGACTCGAGGCATTTTTAAAGCCTGTACCCCATGCCTGGAGCACTCTCCCTTCTCAGCTTCCTTCAAGTCCCAAGTAAAACCCCACTTCCGCAGGAAGGCGCTAGGTGGCGCCGAGCGCACAGAGACTGGGCTTGGAATCAGAAGACTCATCATCCTGAGTTCGAATCCAAGCCCAGACACTGGGAGACCCCGTGGCCCCTGTTCCTTATCTGTAAAGTGGGTTGTCAAGAAAACCCCACCCGGGGTCGCAAAGAGTCAGACAGGACTGAATAACAGCAACTTCTGCAGGAAGTCCTGCCCAACGCGTCCCTGTTCCTGTCCTATGTATCTACTGATCCTGCAAGAAGAGGTGCCCTAGGGAGCTGCCACCTGTGAGGTACCCCCCGCCAGGATCTCCTCCATCGCGCTGGCGGGGGGGCCCTCGGGGCAGCTGTCTCCCCAGCTACACCGTGAGCTCCTCAAGGGCAGGGCCAGCTTGGGGCCCTCTTTGCATCCCCAGCCCTGGATTCCCCCCTCCCCCAGCACTTGATAAATACTTACGGCCTAACAGGAGAGTGTACACAGGACGGCTGCAGAACGTGTAGAAAGAAACCAAAGCGCGGCTGCAACGCTAGCAGCTCTGGATGCTGGAGAGGGAGGGGAGGGTGAGGGTTAGGGCTAGGGTTAGGGTTAGGGTTAGGGTTAGGGTTAG